ATACCTATCATGATCCCATCTATCTTCCTTGTCTTTCCATACTTTCTTCTCTTTAGTTTCTCTTTCATTTGTAGTATCAGCATTATTATCTATAACTTCATCCGTAGTTCTATCATCATGTTCATAAAATGTTCCACGTTTAGGTATATATTGTGGATTTCGTCTATCTTCATCATCGTCTAATTTCTTCTGGGGTTTCTCTTCTTCTTGTCCATCTCCACTTTCTCGCAATACACCTTCTTGTGACTCAACATCAGAATCAGTTACATAAACATCACATTCCGAATCTTGATGACCATCAGTTTGTTCGCTACTCTATAAGAGAAACAATACCTCTACCATACTACATTTACATAGAACACAGGTACACATAATAAATCAAATTAAGGAGTTTTACGTGGCTCTCATTACGAAGTTCTCATATGGTTATAAATTTTACGAAAATTCAAAAAAAAAAAAAAAATAATAAAAAATAAATAAATAAAAAATAAATAAATCAATAAGTTTATCAAGGTTTTTTTTCCGAAAATCATTCGAACGAGATAACCGTAAAACATTAACGGAACTAGATAACCAAAAAATTACTAATAAAAGTAAATTATCGAATTGTAATGATGTATTTAAATATAATATTGGTTTACTTAGTTAAATAAAGAATATCGAGCTTCCGACCTCATTTTTTATTATCGATAAATCCAAGAACAATATTTTGAAATAATTGAGCAAATTCTCATGAAAATAGGAAAATAAAATGTATGTAATTGAATTTTATGTATTCACTCACTTGAGTCTCTTTTGTGGCGTTCAACTCCTCGTAAGAATCCGAGAGATCATCAGAACCACACGATTGATTGGATTTTCGACGACGTCGCGTATCAGACATGTTATTTCGAGTGAAGCCACACGCGTTCTACAATCGTTTCCGTTCCTTTTGCTTTCTTTTTCTTTTCCTTTGACAACGAAGGTTCGTTGCACGAAGAGAAAAGTTAAGAAAGCTTATCGTTACTTATCGTATTGTCTCTTGAATCGAAGGAGATTCTCTTAAAATTCTCGTTCTATACAGTCCAACCGACCTAAGTACACTAATTAAGAAGGCACACCGTCCTTGTATTTTCTCTTCAGCGACCACAACGATTCCGTTAGGTCGTTGTCAAATTGCTCGGCAGCAATGGCGGTCATGTTGAATTTGACGTGATCAGATATATACATTCCACGTTAATATAACCTTTGTTGTAAAATGACGTACAATTGAAAACATTCAAGATTTTTAATTAAAATCGAATTAATGTCGTTCGTTAATTAATAAAAATACGTAATTATTCAGTTTTCTTTTTTCTTTTTTTTCTTTTTCTTTCTTTTAACGAAATAATTGTTAAATCGATGAATCGCTTAAATTTCTCTTCGAATGATTGCCGCGCGATTATTATATGATTCATGGGAAATTAACGTCACCTATAAGTTTCACCTTGTTTCTTGTACTACGTGGATATACCGAAGTGAACGATTTCATTAATGCAAATATAGTTTCTTTTTTCGAAGAATCCTTTTTCTTTAATTATAAAATAATATCAATAGAGTTAAGCGTGCAAAAATATAATTTTTACCACCTTCGTAATATTATAAATCATTGAAATATAACATTTTTCATTGGTTGTTACTTTTTATTTAAAAATTAATGTGTACGTCGGGATAGATGGCGTTTGCGCCTATTTGATTAATAAGGTTTTTTGCTGTCATAAATTTATAAACGTTTTACTAATTTTAACATATTTAATCAAAATATGATAAAATAATTATTGATTTAGAAAAATGTGGAAATATTATTGTATTTACAACGTATTAAACGTTATACTTGCCAATACATGGGCCCACGAAGTAAAAAATTTCGATGATACTATTTTATTCAAAATTAATTGGCCAGACAAAAGTAATACAGAATTATTAGTGAGTATAATATGAGAATATTAATGAAAATAAAAAAAACTGTAGAAATGTGATTAAACGAAACTATTATAAAATTTATTTTTTTGTTTATTTATAGGAACCTGAAACTAATGTTGAGCCTTATTTTATAACAACTGCAAATAATGAACGTTATCAATGTTTAATACCAGATATGATAGAGCAAGAACATAATAATGCTGAAGTATATAAGGGATCAAATCCAATAGAAATATTATCAATGTTATTTCGTCAAAATACTTGTTCTTATAGGGTACGTATTTATTAAAGAACAATATGAATTTAATAAGATATAATATTCATTATAATAAATAATCTATTTCAATAAATAGTTAGAGTCTTATTGGACTTATGAATTATGTCATGGCCATTTTGTGCGCCAGTATCATGAAGATAGAGAAGGAAAAAAGGTCAAAACTCAAGAATATTATCTTGGTAATTTTGACAAATCACAAAATTTCAAACTTTCCGTTGAATACGATGAATTAGCAAAAAATTCTGATAAAAAGTCAGAAATACCAGTAAAGAAAGTAGATGGAATAAATATGCCTTATGTTGAAATTAAAATGGGAGATGGTACACTTTGTGATATAAGCAGTAAACCAAGAATGATAAGAGTTCTATATGTATGTTATCAGCATGGCAAACATGAAATATTTTCATTAAAAGAAACATCTAGCTGTGAATATGAGGCCATTGTTCTATCTCCATTGCTTTGTTATCATCCTGATTATAAACCACAAGATTCTAAGGAAAATGAAATTGAATGCCGTGCTGTGGATAATACACCCAAGAAACCTAGAGCACTTGTTGCAATGGAAATGGAGAGTTTGAAACTTCGACATCAAAAAGTATGATAACTTCGTTTAAATATATATTTTTTTACATTTATTTATTTATAAATATCAAAATCAAAATCAATTCATTTCTGAATGTGTTTCATATACAGATGCAAAGGCTTTTTTTTTGTATGTAGCGCATGATATGCACAGAACATCTCAAATTTGAAAATTAATTTAATTTAAACATTATTAGATTATATGAAAGAGAGCATGTTGCTGGATTAATATAGATCATAAAAAAAGGATTAAGGTTATCTTATTTCAATCTTTTAAAATCTTAATTTTTCAAAGCTATTGTTCTCTATCAAATAGATTATTTCTGAATACTAAATTAATAATTTCTTTATTTTTAAGTTGATTTATTATTTATAAACTGAATTGATTATTTCTTACACAGGATAACAAGCTGCAGAAAATCTATGCGATCTTCCATGTAGATAAGGAGGGCCAGGTCAGAAAATTTTCATTTTTGGGAGAGAGGCTTTACGCTTTATGCCCGTTGTCACATAATGTCATGGGCTTTTGCTGACATCTAATTCACTCTGCCCCTTCTTCATCTACATACTTTATTTCTTAACCATATAATGTCTAAATACTAATTCATATACTGAGTTTTAACTCCAACTGTTAATATATATTGCAAAACTATATTTTATTTAATACATTAGTCTTATTAACATATATTAGTAGTTTATTTGATCTATTTTACAAATAATGTGATAATTACTATCACATGAAACATCATGGATTCCTGCATCTTTATTAATCTTACACAATAATAATAATAATTTTTTTAATCAAAGCATAAATACGCTATGCATATAGTCAATATTAATCATCTAACTTTGATTTCAATATACAGTGATTAAATTTAAAATCTGTATTTATAATAGCATGATATAAAATTTATTCCAGGATGGTGATGCTCGTGTAAGGGTTGAAATACGACCAGTAGATGTTGTTGATAAGCAGAATGGTGAGGATGACTCTGTTAATTCGTTAATAGATCAAAACATAACTCCTGCAGAAATTAATTCGGTCCAAAACTTTCTTAGTGGCAAAAATTGTTTACATGGAGTAAGTATCTATGCATTATTTATTAATTAATTATTAATAATATTATTAATAATTATTAATAAAATTATTAATAATAATATTTTATTATAATAAACAGGGAAATGGTTGGTGGAAATATGAATTCTGTTTTGGACGTTCTATAGTCCAATATCATACAGAAAAAGATGGTACTAAGACTACTGTTAATCTTGGTAAATTTGATAGACAAAAACACTTGGAATGGATTGCTACTCATCCTTATAAGAAACCAGGACCACCAGAAGTGCGTAAATATTTATCACACTTTTATAGCGATGGAAGTATTTGTGAAAAAATTGGCCAATTACGACAAACTGAGGTATTAGATTTTAATATTCAAATAACAAATAATATAATCTTAAATAAAATTATTTATTAATAAATATTATTTTTTAGGTAAAATTAAAGTGTGTTGAGAATCATATGGGCAGTCCATCCAGTATATCATTATTCTTATTAGAACCAAAAACATGCAAATATGTATTAAGAGTTGAGTCTCCATTAATCTGTGATATTTTAGAATATGCAGATGAAAATGGTCTTTTAAGTGAAAAATTTGAAACAGATTTTGCTAAATTGAAAATAACAGCTCTTCATGTAGAACAAGATGATTTAGATGAAAGAATAGCTAATGGAGATGATTAATGAAAATTGATTTTTTATTAATTTTTAATAAACGAATAGGAAAGGTACAATTAATTGTAATTTATAATAAAATTGATTTAATCACCGTGATTATTACAAAACATGATCACTAATATTGTCAATTGTACTTTTCTCATATAAAATTTGTGTAGAATTTTGTAAACATGCTTAAATGAATTTAAGTGTATATATTTTTTAATAATTATACAATAGTGTAACTTATAATTGTTTTTTTTTTGTTTACTAGATCGGAAGTAAAAATAGTTGTACAAAAAAATTTATCAGGCATACAAACATTATTTAATTTAAGATATAAGTAATAAAGTTTATAAAAAGAATATTATCAATACATCAGTTTTTATTACTAAAGTAATAAAAAAAAAATCATAGATGTCTGTGATATAAATTACAGAACACATAAAATTAAACACATATTGTATGATCAATTAACAATAATTATACACCAATATCAAGACCTACACCTACGCGAAATTGCTGATTCAGATGATTCAAGTGTCCACTAATGATTAATGATGATTCTGGAATTGGATATAATTTCTTTTCAAATACACAACCAATACTACTTTCTGAATTAACAATGCCTTTGAAAATTAGATCAGCATATGGTATATTAATTTGGTATACTATAGTGGCAATTGATTCATGAATCCTCATATTAGTTTCTATTTCAACACCAAGTTGCAGTTGTTTGCTTGCTCGTCTATAATAACAAATATGAAGACCAGCTTCTCCTAAAGTAGCAGACCATGTTGCAGGTCCTGTATTATATCTGAATGCTACACACATTAATGTTTGTTGACCGCCAGTAATTTTAGAATTTCGAAGACAAGCTACTTCTGCACCCAATGTAATCCTAGATGTAATTGCTTGCAAGAAATGTAATACAACAATTCCTTGCTGCTTTAAAAATTTTGGATTTGCTAATGTTAATGCCAATGTATAATCATTGGACCGATATTCTATGGATGAACTAGAAGCCTTGTACTTAAAATTTGCAACTTGCGTAGACAATTTGAATCTAAATCTACATCCAAGTGTATGTACAAAATTTGCTGTCATGTTTCCATTTGGAATAATATCGCCTTTCACAATCGGATACTTCTCGTGCAAGCCCACTGCCTTAGTGCCAATGTAAGATGCGCCAAATTTGTATCCCGAAGGAGTTACAGAACTCAACGTTATTGTGTGCATTACATTGAAATGGGAACTGAGAACTTTCTTAATTATTAATCTTGCACCCTCAAAATTTTGTGGATAAAGATCCTTCACTTTTTTATGAAGATCCTCAAAACTCCCTGGATTTCCAGGTTTTCTGTCTTCTTCGTTTGGGCATGGTACACAGTCAGGAATATCTGTCTTATTTGAGGCTATATATGGATTTTGTTCTTTATTTACAATGGCATATATAATACCCATTATGATCACGAGAAATGGCTTCCTTAAAAGAAGTCAAAATTTGTATAAATTCGGCGTTCATCGAAATATTTGTACATTTTTCTGAGCAGGGACAAAACATTTAAATTGAATGTATTATTTGAAAATTCGAAAGCTAAAAAAGATGAGGTTAATAGTGAACATTTGAAATTTGCCGCTAAGAGGAATAAAAAAAACGAAGGATGCGCAGTAGCATAAATTTGAGGTTCCACGATATTGTCAATAGATGACTCTGTTATATCATTGTATATTTGAGTTTCTCATAAATACTCTATAAAGGTATTTTATCTTTATAAGAGTTCAAAGATTACATTTTGGTGGAAGTGTGTGCTAGTGATGGCACAGCTGAACATTGATCGCTAAACGTCGAGATATGGCAGATCTGCTCAGTGGGTGTTGTCACGTGGTCGCTTCAAGTAGCTTGTGTTCGGCTCCCGATTGCGCGTGCATGTTCGTGGTTTTCTTCCAAAACCTCGGATATGCACGCCTGCACGGTTGAGTCTTCACGTCGCTCCTCGAACTACCGCGATTTCCAAATTGGGGGGCAATCGAATAGGTCAGACGAGGTAATTTGTCGCTTCCATATACAGGCACTGCGGAAAAGCAGTATGCCATTTTTTTTTCCCCCCCATTACGAAGATATACTTTATATAATAACCCTACATTTGGTGATATTAAATATATTTTTTTTTCAATAGTGTAATAAGAAATAATTTTTATTATATATATTTTCATGTATGAAAAATAATTTATAGAATTATGCTCGCATATCTGTTATTATTTAAGCATTCAATTTTTTCTGGACCTCGTTATTAATCTCCGATGAGACTTGCGTGAACAAAAGATTCCAATTCCAAGCTTCGTCGGGTTCCTTCACCATATTTTCATTATACAATTTTTCTGTTAAAGGGAAAAGACTTATCCCATCCAACGATGTAAATGCTTCGTTTTTAATTAAATCCGTATCTAATTCTTTGTAAGCCGTGACTCTGTTCGTGTCGATTCTACGTAAACAAATGAATGTTCAATGTAGATTAAAAAAATTTAGGTAGAAAAGAAAAAGAAATAAATGAATAAAGAATAGTTAGAATTTATTTATTTATTTGATAAAAACATAATATAAATATTTTACTTACACAGGTGCATTGGAAAGATCTGAAAGAACATTGTCCTCTTGAATTTCGTCTAAATCCGGTATCACAGGAATATCTGTAATAAGATCATATTGATCCAATTGATTTATTTTCTTTATTAAAAATGATATGATATTGGTTTATATATATATAATCTCTCATTGCGATCTTACCATCTTGTTGATTTTCTTTTCCAGTTGATCGAAATCGATCCCTAAGGAATAATCTGTTTTAGTGACTATAGATGTCTGATTCTATATTGTTGTTAATTATAAATACTCACTGTTCGATTATGTTAGAAGATGCCTTTGTTCTACGATAAAAAATAAACAGATTAAATAGTTTTTGACAATTACTGATTATTTTTAAATATGGAAGAACAAAGTCGAAATATTTTATATACGTCACTCACTTGCCACTTCTTAAATCGTCACCCCAACCAGTTTTTCTGGCACGAGGTGGCGCCACAGGTGGCTGCGTTGAACGTCCCGAGGATAATGACGTAGGACTGTTTAATAAATCCTCATCTGATTTTGAATCTTCCTGCGTAATATTTTGGCCTGCTCTTCTGCCCAGTCTAGGAATAAGCTGTAAACATTAGTCGTTTGAAAATATTTACAAAATTTTAACAATACACTGAACACAGGTATACAGTAATACATTTACAACTGCGTGTAAAATATTTAAGAATTTATGACGATGATTTAAAGTAATTTACCTTCTTCGATGTAATTTCTAAATCCGTAGCCCAATCCATCGTTTTTAAAATACAATTTATTTATATTTCGTAGAAGAATTAAAGAGAGAGTGTCGGTTTTGTGTTTGCAAGTGGTAACCATGACAATTGACAGCATTCTCGTCGTGTCGATAAAGTAGGAAAGGCGGGAATATTTGAAAATAAACACATTGCACGCATTATCTTTTGGAATTTAGTATAATTTTTTTTCTTTTCTTATAATTTCCTTTAATAAAGTCAGTTTAAAACAAATTCAGTTTAATAAAGTTCAAATAAAATTCCGCACAATCATAATTAATATTTCAAATACAAAAACACTATTTGTTACAATTTAACACTTTCGCTTCGTCCTATATTCATGAATGAAAACTAGAGTTCTTCAATAATATTTCGTACTGTTTATTTGTCGTTGATACTCCTCGTTGTCTGGATTTTCATTACAACCATTATCGTTGTTCGGTGGCCTCACTTTGTTAAATCTAAACAACGTACACATGTACTTTTTTAACAATGGAACCTATCACGATGATGTCAAACACAATTCCCAAATAAAAATACCTAGAAAAGTCTCCTTTACAAAGACGCCAAGGTAAAATGTCTATTTTCTCATGAAGAATCAAAGATATATCTGGACTAACAAAATACGGTGTCCCCGCGCCGGAACCACGTGTTATCAGGTTTCTGTCACTATCGTAGCAACAATGTTGTGCACTTCCGCTTCCCGTAGCCAATAGAGTACGCACGCAATAGGCCGCCCCTGGCTTGTAAACATCCAATCGGTAGGATGCGCTGCTTACGTCGCGCCAACGATAGTGCTTCTTTTGTTTTTCGTCCCATAAATTGTTATCGTAGAAGATAATGTTCGGATATTTGCACGGACAGGCAGGAAGAACAACGAGGTGTCCTGAAATGAGCGTTATACATCATTTTTCTTTTTAATTTAACGAGAACAATGTTAAATAACCTCACCCAAAAATGCCGCCTCGAGTTTGTCTTCATTATTTAACCACTTTTGACATGGGTCTGTGTCAAATTTTTCTCTGACAAAATGCAATTCCTTAAAGTTATTGTGATCGGTCTCAAGCGATGTATTTAGTAAGGCTTGAAAAAGATTCGTCAACATGCCGGAAAAATCATCCGAAGTTTTATAAATAGAAGAAAAATCTCTATTGTCGTCGTAATCGCCGATTGTATCTTTATCCTTATCCTCGACATATCCATCGATAATCGACGATCCATTGTTATATATATCGATATCTTCTAATTGCGTATTAATATTTTCATCTTTTTCATTTGACGCTCGGGTCTTTGTCATTAAACGTGATTCCTCACTTTCGTAATCGTTATCCTGTTGGAATATCTGTGGATACGAAAGTTTATAATTTGTTATTGGTCCTATTATTATTCGTTAGTTTTGTTTTATCGTACATATCTATTACAATACTTACCTGTTCCGGTGTTTCAATATGAGAACACGTGGAATTATTTTTGCAATGTCGCTTATGATTCTTCGAGTGTCTCGTTAATAAATCATCGATCTCGTCGTCTTCTCGTTTCCTTCTTGATATGGTTAACGAGAATGATGTATTTAAATTCGGGAAAAAGTAGACAGAGGTCGTCGTTTTATTAAAAATCCTTCTTAATGGAGAATTCTTTGCCTGATATCGTATATATATTATTACAGGATAAAATATTTAAAATGTAATTTTGCGACATTTAGGGCGCCATTTTTAAAAGTCCGTCAAGTACGCAAACAGAATCAAAATGGCGATTGGATCTTCGACGTCGTTTGTATAATTTTTAAAAAATGTATTGAAGAAAAATTGAAAATGAAGTCGAAATCACGAGAGCGCTGACTTTCCTGATATTTTCCGACCGAATGAAATTATATACATATATATACACAAATTATATATATATATATATATATATATATATATATATATACACATATATGGAGATAATTTAAAAATTTTAAAATCTTTTATTGGTTACTGTTTTTTTTCTTTTCTTTTGTGTTTCTTTTTTTTTCTCACACGAACAACACTACGAGCATAACATCAAAAGATCGTGTTTACTTCGTAGATGAGTTACGGACTTTGAAGGAGAAAAAGGGACGTAGCGGTATGTGTTGGAACGGTATGAGTGGAATGGACTGGAATGGGATACGCTCAACGATGCGAGAGATGGAACATTTCTACTTCTGAGAAGCCGCGTGTTATGCGATCGTTGCCCATTCAATGGCGTAGCCATTGTATGATGCCGGGAAGAACTCCTACTCCGTCTCAGTTTGAAGAAACGAAAACTAACAGGAAATATAATATGTAATATCTCTTATCGAAATCAACGATACATTGGTATACTACATTTATTTCACTGTAAGATGTATAATCATAACAAATGATATTTATTTTATTGTTATTTTTAAAAGATATGGATTATTTGAAGGAAATAATAATATTTGTTTATTTAAATGCTCAAAAAAAGAGCGCTTTATCTCTAATTCCGTATATTATTGGAGCATGTAAATGTCCTACTAAATATCACTTCATTTGTTTACTTGACTTACCTGGTAATGTAAAAGAGTAACGGCTAAAATCAAATGAAGAGTAATGATTATATAGATCATCAATTGTATCGATCTCATTTTCTATTTGGTTTCGTTTGTTTTTATTTTATTTTATTCTTTTCTTTTCTTTTACTATTATTATTATTATTATTATTATTATTATTATTATTATTATTATTATTATTATTATTATTATTATTATTATTATTATTCTTTATTAGTGCCAATTAATCGATCAAGTATATCTTCTAGATATTCATTATTGTCACCAAATCAGCGTTATTTTCTTTGTTTTAGTTCTTCGTGATTGTAAAGGTATAACGACAAAGTAAATCGAAAGTTCATCGGTAATCTTCTCCCGGAAAGATAAGTAAATTACGGAAGAGGCACACACGTTTATCTTATCAAAATGATGAAGTATGAGAATTGCGAGAGGAGAAGAAGAGCGGGTACAAAACGCGGCGCTCACTGTTCAAAGGCGTACACCACTATGTGTATAGTTGTGAATCGGTGAAGTTCTGTCCCACTATAATGGGCCAGTGGCGGCGAGGTGAAACGGTTGGAGAGGTAGCACGCCGGATGACAGAACACTACGTCATTGTATAGCTTCTATTATGGCGTATCACGGCTTAGGCTTTTATTTTGTTCTCCTAAAAAAAAAAAAGGAAAAAAAAAATCTTTTTCCTTTCTTTCTTTTATTTCATATATCATGCTTTCTATATTTCAATTCTACATTTAATCAAATACATTCCTTGTATCTATCTTATTAAATAATCGTTCAAATCATTCGCATCATTACAAAATCCGTTTTATCAGATAATCCCATTTGTTTTTATAATGTTTCAGATGTAAGCAATTTAAGTAGTTCACTCTTTTATTGTTTTTGTTTCGTGTCGTTCATTGATTTAGTATAATGGATGAAAGTGAATCTTGAAAATGATCTAGCACTTGATTAATGTTTTATTGGTAAGTTTAGTACGAAAAGTCTTTAATATGTTATCTTTTGGACCGCAAAGTTCGCGCAAAGCCGTATCGTAAATCAATACGTATTACGGCGCCAGGATCTAAATACAACATGAATGGAATGCAGTGAAACACGTTCCAGTTATTTTTAGTCGAACAGATTCGAAAATACACCCACCCTGAAGTAAATATAACCGGAGATGCGCGTACGGGAATGCAGTGAGAACGGCACGCGAGCAGTCAGACACCTCACAGATATGTAAATGCTAGTATCGAGAAATTGATGGGGTGTGTTGAACGTACGAATCTGCCTTATCTCTTACATTTCTTTTATAATATATAAGTACCTATAATATATAATGATAAACTTTATTAGTATTAAAAAAAAGTAAATTATTTAAATATTATTTTATTTAATGTGATAGAAATATAATATAATATTATATATATATATATATATACATATATTTTATAATATTTTATACTTTTACTAGATGTATTAAAATTAGAAACATACGTGAAACAAGCGAGAAGATCATAAAACTTTCTTTATTTCACGATACTTACGTATCGTAATAGTTAGTATAATATTGTAAATTTCCATAATAACAGAGCAAACGAATATTCCATGATACACGCGAGAAGATAATTTATTAAGATCGTACGTTAACTCTGATGTCTTCCGCATGACCTTGTTTAACATAATTTATTTTCTGCGATAAGAATAGAATGATTCGAGCATATAAGATGTCCTCCGACATAAAGTAGGTTATTATTTCATACGCCAACGATTACGATTGAGGAGAACTTCTTTACTCATTTTTTTTTCCGTAATCAATATATTATATATAAAAAAAAGTTTCGCAATAGTTAATAAATTTAAATAAATTTTATCTTTTAATGGCGATATCCCGATAACTATTACGAATTTTGAAATGAAATTAACGATAGAAATATCTGAATTCTGCATATTATTAAGTATCTACATATATATAAAAATGTAATGAGAAAATATTGCAAAGCGTGATAATTTACATATTGAGTGGTCCGAATTAATATCAAAGTTACTTCGAGAGAGGCCGGCCACCCTTATCTTTTGTTTTCCATAACGTACTCGTGGAAGTTCAACACCGGTAGCGTTTCACATTCCACGACTGCATTTCTGCAATCCACCGGCGCCAAACTCACCGTCAACAACACGAATAACTGTCGCATTTATTTTAACGCCAGGCTTATAAATTTCACCGCTGATTTCATCGTTCGCCCTCTCGAAAACATTCCGCGAGCTTGAGAGAAGCGTTTGATTTTGGGACGCTCCTTTGATGGTAGACAATGATCAAGTCCTGTGTACGTTTTTAACGCAGACTTTCATGATTTGTCATTTTATATATTTTTTAAGGATAAGAGGGACAAAGGAATAATAATAATAAAAATAATAATAATTATCGGTTTAAATATCATTTATTGTATATCTACTATTTTACTATAAATAATTCTAATGCAGTTATCACGAGATATTATATATACAAATTTAATCTTATCATATCTATATCTACGAATTACGATTATAATAATTTACAGAGATACGTTATAACAATACAATAGATTACATTACAATACAACGTTGCGTGTGTTTGTGTGCGTGCGTGTGTATATGTGTTTGGATGTACGCATACTTGGGAATGTTCTTATTTACAAACAGGACTTTGTCGATGTACAACGACTTATGCGAAAATAACGCTCGATATTGTAAAAATAATAATTTTCTTTTATTTTTCTTTCAGGAGGACGTAAGTACTTAAAAGAACCAACGAGAACCCAAAATATACAACATTTAATCTATTTTCTTAGTCATAATTCTTGAAATCCTGAAGAACACTCACGAATCGTTCGTACGATCACTAATCTGTGTGTCCTTTTGACATGGACTCTTCAGGAAAATATCGAGCAACAATTTTCGATCGAAACAATTCGATTATTCGATTAATGACAACCACAATGTTCAGCTATCATGTCCTCGTATATTTTCAAAGCAACGTTTTCGTTATCGTTGTAGAAAAGCATACTGGTGCTAGATAGCTTCGTTGGTACACAGCAAGGCATTTCAACGCCTTCCACCAAACCCATCTTATGAATAATACTTTGTACGGTGGCATGATTTGTTGGTTGTTGATTTTGGCTCAGCGGTGGCTCGCAAAGACCTTTGCAATGATATGCAGAGTATCCTTTAGGCGCAATTATGTTTGAAGATAGTCCAATTTTTTCGAAATCGACGTAAAGCTCGTGTCTCGAGCAGATAGTCGTGTTTTTGTAACCCAACAAAACATTTTGTTTTGTTGATCTTCTCGCTCTACGTTGATTCCTGCTAGCTCCTCTTTGGGAGACCTTATTTAATTTCTCCCGAAGCATGGCTCTCTTGTAAATATCCATCGACGTTAAAACATGCGTCGTCTTCGTTTTATGCGAGATAATCTTCTTAGGACGTTCTCTGGTTAATTTTGTATCACGTCGATCACGTTCTACGGAATCTTCCCGCCAAGTTGAATCTGACTCGTCCTGTTTTCTTTTCTCTCTTGAAAAAAATTCTTTTTCGCGTCTTTTTATTCCTGACGTGCCTTCAACCTCGTCTCTCTGTCTTTCCTGTTTGTGAAGATGTTCGTCATACTCTTCCTTCAAGTTAATCTTATCGTTTACACCGTCATAAAGTAATTTATCTTCGTCGATATTGTCATTCCCATAAGGATAGTAATCCGGAACGATTTTCATTCTAGGTCGTTGTTCTTTACCATCGTCGTTAAAAAGAACCAAGATCGGTTGCTTGTTATGATGATATTCATTTCGTCGAGAAAACTCGATGTTTACTTCATCATCGAACAAAGTCGTGACCGTCACCAAGAGACCAAGATTTGGATCACCACTGAACCAGGAAAGTACAGCTTCTTTAACGTTAAACACCTGTGGAATGGTGGTAAGTAACTGTTTTTTAATAACTTTAACTTTTAACACGATAGCTCTGTTTATGTTCTAACTATCCTATTTAAATTAGAAGATAAAGTGTGTGTGTGTGTATAATATATATATATATATATTTATATATTATGTATATATTATATATTATATATTATATATATTATATATTATATATATTATATATTATATATATTATATATATTATATATATTATATATATTATATATATATAATATATATATATTAATATTATTATATTATATATATAATATAATAATAATAGTTTTTTACTTTTGAAGGGCATAAAAACATACCTGCCAACCTGAAGTATGTATTCCAGCATAATGAATATTGAGTAACTTGTGAAGATTCGGTACAGCAAGACTTCTTTTCTCTAACACTTGATAGACTCTTATCTGAACAGAAGTGATTATCTTATGAAAAGAGAAGATTGAGGAAGGAAATCATTTGGATGTCTGACGCTTACCGAATAATACGGCGACGTAAGCGTCAAAGGATGCATCGATTTAGTTGGCGTTTTCTTTCTGTAAAGATGTAACTCGGCTTCCAAAACCGATTCGTTTTCTTCAAGGCCGGATACATTAAAAAAATAGAAATGAGGCAAGGAGGTATCTACGGGTTGAAGTAATTAGTCATTATTTTCTTCTAAATAAATTGTCACGTTAAAAGAGTGATTTAAATTATATAAATGATTAAAATTAGTGATTACTTGAAGTGGAAAGTATAGTAATTAAGAATGGGAGAATTGAAGATGGAAATATAGATAATTTATTATATACAAATATGAGAGAGAAAGAGAAAAAGGTTTGGGTAGATATTAAAGAAAAGAATTTACTCTTTTCGATGAAACTCCGTACGATCTTAGCATTATAAGGATTTCGTCCTCGTGTGACGCCTTTATCATCGGCGATAATATTATACAGTTCCATCATGAACTGAGGTGGTATCTTACGGTGGGCTGATATTTCGCCCTGGCCACGTATACCAAAGATCTGTAATATTATTATATTTGATTAATATTGTGCACAAAATGACACGTACACTCAGTTTTCAATCGTCCTTTCATAAATTACTTCTCAACGACGTACGTGAAAAAACATCGTTAGAAATCGGATACAAGACGGACCTTTTGCAACTTTTCCAACTCGTCTTGGTGTTTCTCGTTACCGAGCTCTTTTCCTTGAGTGAGTTCACTATGCGACGAAGACGGGCCCCTTCTTTCCTGACCTTTATCATCCTTGAGAAGATCTGAGGGATATGCGCCCGCTTCAGGAAGAAGATACGTCGACAATGACATCGCCGACATCACAAGCAATAACGACAATGCACTTCGCGTCTGCATTGATATGATCTTGCGTTTGATTAGAAGGAAAATAGAAATCGGGAAGCAATCGAGTGCACTTTCTTTAAGGTGTCAAACATGTACACCTAAATCTTATTCAACGTTTTAGTCAGGTCTTCACGCGAGTGAGGTGTCCGCTATATTTTTCTATTGGTATCACAAAATGTGAAGTGAGTCATATCAATAGGATCATTTGAACATTTTCGTTGTTTATAAACGTATAAAAATTCTTTTTCTATTATTATACATTGGTCTATTTGAAAGGCGTCAATTTTCTTCGACTGAGTCAATTCTTAAACGTTCATAAACAACGAAGTTATTTTGATGTTCCTATTGAAATGACTCACCCTTTATGGTACTGTATTATGTGCGTATGGTATAATAATTAATCGTGGACTTGGACACCTTATCACGAACAAGAAAAAAAAAGAGACACTCTATTTTCTATATGTCTCGTTTCGTCGAAGGAACGGATATCTCTGCTTTACCGGACACTTTGCCGAACTCAACGGGACGCTAAGTGGCATATGGAAGGTTTTCGCTGCGAGGAGTCACCTTTATGCTATGCCGGGAGTTCCTTCCCCCGCTTTACTCCCCGCTCGACATTGGCGCTTCTCACGTTTTATATATATATATATATATATATATATGTACACAGTCACACCGCGACATATACGCAAACCATTTATTTGTCCGCATAATTGTCAACAACGACAACACATCTTGGCCCTTTAACCTACTCGTCAAAGAAGATCTCGTTTGTATATGTTTCTCTTCTTAACTTTTTCACAATATTATTTTTGTTTTTGACTATCAAATTTGACTGTTGTTTGTATCTATATCTATTTTGTTATTATTTAAACAATTCTGTTTAGCAATATAATTCATATCCAATATTAAATTATTACAGGATGTTTAATTATCATTGTTATTGTCGCTAAAAAATGTTGTTTATACGAATTTTAAGTAATAGTTCGTAAATAAATTAAATATGTATATATATATATATATATATATATTTTATAAAAAATAAATGAATATATGTATGTGTGTGTGTGTTATTGAGACGATGGAAATCGTTGAGCGATGATGACAGTGCCGGGCTATTATAAAAAGCACGTTTCCTAAATTCTACGGATTCGTAAGCACCAAGCTATGCTCGCGACGCGATATTTAGGTGGATGAACGTTTTAGATAATTCGTTGTTTTTTCTTTTTTCTTTTTTTTCTTTTTTTTCTTCTTTTCTTTTTTTTTTTTTTTTTTTTTTTTCATTGCGAGGGCGATGACTGATCACAAGTCACGAGCGTATTTTTATGAGTCGTTCGCCCACGTTTTTCTCTCATATCGAGGTTGTCGCCTCGAATTTCAGTTAGTTTCGGTCTTTTACTTCGAACTGCATTGCTTGGGAATAACGTATGCGACGAGATCTCATGCTAAACAAGTACATACATATAGTATATCCACATATAAGATATTGTGACATCTGAAGGGGGTAACAATAAAGTTATCTCTTTCTCTCTCTCTCTCTCTCTCTCCCTCTCTCTCTCTCTCTCTCTTTCTCTATTTCCATCTATATTTTATAATACTAATAATATATAAATAGTTATGAGTTATGTAAAATATACGTTTATTTGATAGACATACTATATAAGTACATCATAGACGTAAAATAGACGTATAATATACGTATAAAAATACATGTATACATGAAATATACATAACTATGGAAAATATCTATATGTATATTATACGTTCAGCATCATGTGAGGATATAACATTTCTTAATTCAAAGTTAAATTTACTTAAAGATATTTCGTTATTATTTGCCGATTAACTTATACATCGTTATATTACACAGAAAGATGTTGATCCGGCAGACATGCGATTCGAGTTTTTCTTCTTTTCTTTTTTTTTGTTTTTTTTTGTTTTTTTTTGTTTTTTTTTTTTTTTTTTTTTCTTTAGAAAAGACATTAGAAATTTATTAGCCACATAACTACACGGCAGATCTAAAAAAAAAAGAGAAAGTATATCTTAACGTTTTTGCAAAACGCAACACAAAAGGATATTTTCTGTCACATCTTCGTCATCGTTTTTTTTTTTTTTTATAATAAAATTTGTATGTTCAATGATGATCCTTTCTATACGCAAATGCATTGAATAATTTGTATCACTTCGCGTTTTGATCCTCGTCGAGTTCTAAAAGAGCATTTAATGTTATATTATTTTTCTAAAAATACTTTGCACAATTAGTATATTTAACTTCTTTAAATAAATACAAATGATCCTACCTGTACTCGTGAACTTTAAATCTCGCCGGTGTGCAAGTATGTTGTTTGGAATAAAGACCAGCCAGACATCTCGAGGGCTCACGTTTGTCCCGTAAAAGACAAGTTTCTGTTTCGTTTCCAGGACAAGCTCCGACACATTGGCCAACATTAATTTGCTAAAAAATATTCATAAGAAAAATAATTCTATGATTATCGAAAAATCCTTTGATGGTATATCAAAACTGCTTACTCTAACAACGGGCTTGACATCGGTAGTATTGGTACCCTCTTTAATTTCAACTTCACTGAAATCCAACACTGTTTCCATGTGATCCATTCGATGACAATTACCAACACAGCTGCATCTTTCGATAACCGGATAAACTTCGTCTCCTTAAAACGTAATAATTGTTATAATATCATTTAGATTTTTCAATTTATGATGTTTACATTTTATTTACCATTTGGTCCTTTAACGCTGACCGTGTTATTTCTTACAGGTTTGCAACCAAGATCTTAAGAAAAAAAAAAAAGAAATATAAACGATATTATAACGTACAAGCATTTCTATAAAATTATTTTATTAAATACATTATCATTTTATTGTTATTGGATTATTATTATTATTATTCCTAAATATTAATTATTTCTAATACCTTTGCCACAGTGTCCTATGCAAACCCCAACATCAATAACGACTTGATACGGTGTACCAGAATGTATAAGATGTGTATATGATTCTCTTTTACAAGAGGAATCTGAAGAACACTCGCAAGCATCAACAGCCTCAATAATACGGACTCCCTGCAACGTGGATACTCTTTCCAGTCTAGCAGCTCTTGGCCGGCAATGACCCTCTTGCGAACATCTCTAAAAATATTATAACAGGTATATTTTTTCTCTAACAAATATCATCCGTTCTTATTCGATATCTAGATCTAGTACTTAATATTATCCTAATCGTTTAATAATTCAATCGAAATGATCGAGTCATATTTTTAAATGAGTCTGGTACATTAAGAAAGATATAAGGTTTAGAAAGACGAGATTCTCTCGATGAGGCTGTCTCGATCATCTGAAAAAAAAAGATACTGCAGTAAGTGCAAAAACTCTTAGGAATTATAAAAAATCGATAACATAATTATTGGCTCGCGTGTATGCATCCTGATTATATACGTGATAATCGCTTTCAACTTTCTTCTTTTTATATGATATCTTATATAATTGTATGTTACAATTATATCATAGAGAAGATAATTTTATTTTTCATACTCTTCGTGACATGAAAATAAATTTAGTACTTATTCTTTTTTCCGTTTTCTTTAACTACATTATAATAATTTCTTTAGGAGGATCTAATAAATTTCTTTTTCATCCGGATCATTTGTCCTCCTGGATATAAAGAACGCGATTCTCGGGATTTAGTATCTGGACAGGCTGGCGCCCGCGTGTGGTGACCCAAGACGACCTTCCAAGGACGCAAAACACATCGTCCACAAGCAACCTCTCTCCTCTCTTCTCCTTTGCATATCGCGTGCAGCGTCGTCTTCCCGACTTGTTTCTCTCCAGGAGAGCGTAGGTGAGCTGCAAGATCGTAAATACTACCAATCGGATTACATTACGTGACGAAAATAACCTCCTCCACCCGTGCAAGGAAGCGATACACGAAGGGACACTCCAAATACGCATCCTTGGAAAATCTTTCTCCGGATCTTCTTTTGCTGAACTCGAAGATATCTAAAAGTCTACAACAATTTTCTGTGATTGCATATATTATTGCAAATAAAAACTTTAAAAATTAATAGAAACTATATATATATATATATATATATATATATATATATATATATATATGTATATATAAATGTAATCAAAGGCTATATATATACGATGTATTATTGTAAACAATATTATATATAATACAACCATATAAATATATAACAATATTATATATAATACAATCATATAAATATATACATATATATGTTGTACATGTACATTTATACTATATATACAGACATATATATCAAGTATATAATATTCACGAGAAAACATAGGAAACTATTATACCAATCGACTTATTTTCTGTGTGACATTAAAATATAACTTTTTTACTATTATTATTATATTTCTAAAAAAAAAAAAGAAAGATGTTGACATTAATATATAATTATTTGTATAATGTTTAATATTATCCGTTTATTATTATTAACGATTATTTTGTTTAAAGGCGATTATTTATTGCTACATTTACCCAAATGCATTAGTTTTTTGATTTTTTTCTTGTATCTTTGATATATTAACTTTTAAAAACTCTTCTTTTTTTAACAATAAAAATATGAATAATTTCTTTTTATAGTTGAAAATCCTCATCGATATACGGGGTGAGCTCTTTTCAGAGTCGTGAAGATTGTTCGATCGTGCGATGTCTGGCGTGGCCACATTCCAGCTTCCGGATTGGTCGAACTCATGCGTCATAAATCTGAGATACGTTCCAGTCTTTCTTCACCCTTCATAGCCCTCGGCATAATCGGCCGACATTACTGGGCTCTCAAACTATATATACTTCTTGATATAAAAATTCTCTCGAAACTGTACTTTAAAATATGTTTGCACGTACTATACGCTGTGATCAAGATCTTTTGATTTTTTTCTTTTTACAGATATATAGATTTGTAAGATCACATTAAATATGAATCATTCTATAGAGAATTCTCTTAAATTATAATTATTTTATTGAAAAATATTTTTTACAAATTTTCATTAATTGAATCCAAGAATTAAAATAATAACTTGAATGTAATCTAAAGTAATAGAATAATTCAACATAAAAATATTTTATTATTGGTAAGATATTTAAATTTTTTAATTTGTTTCATATCTTTGATCACACCTGTATACACTTAGATATTGTTGTCCCAATAGTTCCTTATATATTTTCATTTTTTCTAAGGATATTTTTAATATCTCTTTTCAACGATAACTTGTTTCAATCAGAGAATGTTGAAGATAAAAGACTATTATCTATAGCGTTAAAACTTTTAAAAACATTTTCCTATCGGAACCTAGACGCGTCTTGAAGCTATTCGAAAGCGTAGTTTTTACCATATAGGATCACTTTCAGATGGAATTTGAATTTTGGCGAGTTCAATGGCCATCGAATGCCTGAAGGTATCCATTTTTTTTCCCGTTTTCTTGTTTTTTTCTTTTTTTTTTCTACTTTTCTTACTCGCAAAATATCTTGCAATTTTCTGATTTATTTTCGACCAAAGTCGCTCTGGCACAAAGCCATTCTCATTTTCAAGCAGCCGAAAGACTCCAGCATGAAATTCGAAAGAGATCCACGGACCGGTTCGATAAACTTCAATCCGGCAGGATGGGCTTTTTGTTCGTATGGAACCTGATGCGGCAATCAGCCTACGGTGTTTTTGCACCTGGTGCATCCCGCAAGTATGAGTCACGGATTACGCATAGTCACGTAGGCCCTCCCTAAAGCTGCATTCCTGCTACGATATCGCAAAAAAATTGTCTCTTTGATGATCGAGGCTTCCCTTAAAAAGTTTCCCTTAACACGTTGATTGTCATCGTGTGATTATAACTTTATTTTATACCGATATTATACCGAAACATTTGTAAAATATATTCACTAACAGTTCGTTTACGACATTGTTTATAAGATTGCTATTAAGAATCATAGGGATAGTAAAGTTTATTATTTACTTTGTAGTAAATAAAGGAGTATGAATTCTTAATATAAATTGATTCATAAGAGATATTTCAAAGGCACTTAAATAAATTTTTATAAAATTCTTTTAAACAGTTAATACGGTAAAAGAATATACTCTGCAAATTAATTTCCCTACGTTTTCTTATTTTGTCGAAAATTTTTACCTGAACAGCCGGTTTGCTAGCGTCGCCAGGATCGTCGGAAACGTATCGGGGACAGAGCTTTCGACAATGTCCAATATCGATTTGTATGACTTCTCCAGATATTCCTGAAGAAAAATTAAAAAAGTAAATATTTTGAAGAAATCGAATATAAAAATTGTAAATTTCTTTTAATTTTAAAAATTGCGACCTATTAAATCGTGTCACAATAAAAGAAAAAATTTACAATTTTTTAAATCGCATTAAAATATAAATTTATCATTTAATATAGTGCATATGATTATAAAGTATTCGTGAATTGAATTCTTATACTATACTTAATGTAATCAAGCTATTTTGGATGTAGATATGGATAATATTGAATTCGAAGATTTTTTTACGATTTACATTCTTTCGTCCATTCTTTAGTGCTATATTTTTTGCGTATATTTGTTTTAAAAACACAAATGTAGATGTTCTTTATAGAAATACAAATAATATTGCCAATGAATTTCCTGTTCGCTCGAATTTTATAAGTGTCTTATCTAAATTACATATATACAATTCTAACTTATGTATATTGTAATGCAATATTATTAAAAAATATAAGTTTGGTCATACATGCACACGCACATATATATATATACATATGTACATATGTATATATACGCACATATATATATATATATATATATATATATATATATATGTGCGAATTATAAATTGTGTAATATTTATAAATCATAAAAAGTAATTAAACACTTTATTGAGTTAATGGTAACGATTACTAATATAAGTAAAATCGAAAAATTTTACAAGCGAAATCTGATATAAATTGGCTGCTGAATTTTTCAAAAGTACTTGTTATATTTTTTTTTATATAACAAGTACGACAATTTATATAACCCACAAATAACACTTCTACGAAATATTAATTCCTTCGTTCGCACTTTCAACTTGCCAATTCATTTCTCATGTCAATGGTCTCGAGGTTCGCAGCATTTTATTACGGTCAATGAATCGAAGAAGAGGAACGTTATTATGATTAATCGGGATCGATATGCTCAAAGCGATCCGCCGATCGAAGAAACAAATTCTTCGTCAGAACGAACCGGTATTCTAAATCACGAATATTGACGATGTGTGAGTGTATGTAAGTATGTAAGTATATTTGCTATGCGAGAATACCGGACGTTCCATCACCCTCGACATCGACACCGGGCGTCAATTGATTAAACACCCAGTAATAATCTTGCTCGGTGGTATCTAACGAAGACAAGGTCATATTTTCTAACGACAAATAAGTCCACGATGCATTATGCAACCCGGTCTTTTTCTTTTTTAATTATTTATTTATTTATTTATTTATTTATATATTTTTTCTTTTTTTTTTAAAGAATCACTTATGCAATCTTTACATAGTGTATGTATGTTTTATATTTCATTTATATAGATGATAATAATATTAATTTGTATAAATCGTAGAGAACTCACCATAACCGACGTCAATCATTTTTTCGTGCCTCGCACAGCAAAGATGTTGCCGTGCTTCCTCCGTATGAACTTTTCCCTCCGAATCCTTTTCGCTGAAAGCTAAAAAAACAAACGAATTTTCATAAAGTCAATTGCTTTTTCAAAAACGATTAGAATGAATTTATTCTGTTAATCTTTACATATATTTAAAAATTGATTTTGTTTAAAGATAAATAATTACTTGTAAAAACAATATTGCAATCGATCGATACATTTTCTTATGTAAATGTAAATGAGATAAAAAAGAAAATTCGGAAAAAAATTCATTAATAACGAATATTTTTTATTACGTTGGTAACGTAAGACGATTTATCCTGCGTATTGGATAGCCTACCTAATCGTATATTGGCGAGAAAAATCAGGGCAAAACTGCCGAGGACGCTCCACCATCCCCTCGTGCTTTGCATTCGCATCGGTACGAAAAGAAAGATAGACCTATTTGTAGAGAAATTTTACAATATGATGGATTAAGAAAATTCTTTTTTCTTTTTTTTTGTGTTTTTTTTATTATTATTCTTTTTTATTCTTTATTTTTTTTCTATCTCTCTCTCTCTCTCTCCCTCTCTCTCTCTCTCTCTCTCTCTCTCTCTCTCTCTCTAATCGCGTATCAGTTAAATCACGATAACGTATAATTTTCACTATCGTTATCTCATTACAGATCTCCCCCAAAATGACTAGAGGATCAAACGTTATTATAACTCGCGGACTCGTATAGAAGACGAGTAGCCTAAAGAATGCTTAAACCGTGCGATCGATCACGATCGGTTCTTGCCCACGCAGGTTGCGATCTGCGGGAAGACTGGCCGTCTGGTACCCGCTCAGATCTCGCTCAGACGGTGAGGCGTCCGGCTGACAGCCGGATCTCTATTAATCTCGTTTGGTACGGAACGTCGGGGCCCTCCTGATGGGCCGTCCATCACTTGCCTCTCTTTGCCGACTTTGCCGGCAATCACTCCGCGTTGATTTTGCCGAACCTGCCCGCTTGCTCGCTTGCTTGCTCGTTTGCCTGCCTGCCTGCCTGCCTGTCTGCCTGCTTGCTTGCTTGCTTGCCTGCACGCTTGTCTGTCCACTTCCCTGCTTGCTTGCTTGTCTCCTTGTCTATCTGATTGCCTTACAGCTCGTTCACATGGCACCGGATCGGTCTTTTTTTTCTTTTCTTTTTTTTTTTTTTTTGTTCAAATTATTTATTTTAATCGGCTTCTCCAATGGCGCATATTTTTTATATGTACATGTTCACACCAAACTACCGTCATGACTGTATAAAATTGAACCAATGTGTGAACATTACAATTGTGTGACGCCAATTCGGTAAAATTACTAATACGCTTAAATACCGAAATATATGAACGATCTGTTACGTGATTACCATATCGTTACATGTTTATCGGCAAACGCTTTTACCTAAATAGATATCGTGATATCTTAGAAATTAACAATTCCGATCATTTACCTAAATGATTTCTTGGAATAAACATTATGACGATATGATTTAATTGGTTTTAGATTAATTATATCGTTTATACGAAATTTTATTGTGAACATCGATTTTGTTAGAGTCAAATATTTTGAAAAAAATATTGAAATTCCTTTGAAAGCCACGAAATATTTTCAATTAGGAATTACTTATTATTAGTTCATAATATTATGACATTACGTGAACATATTGAATCATTGAATCGACTAATCAGAATGATTAGTTTCAATCGTTTGCTTTATTAAATAAATTTATTATATTATATAAACTTTTATATTAAAATTTATCGCATATTTTCTCAAAGCACGCATTATGACTTTTTCTATTGTAATATAAGAAGGATTTTTTTCTGATTTTTGGCTAATGAGATGTATGAGTTCAAAAGGATGATTATAAGAATAGGAGGGAGGGGGGAAAAACGTTAAGAAGTTTTGACTCGCAAATTTTATTTGTTAAGGGACTTTTTTCTTTCGACGCTAATGCAATGAAAGTAGAGAGAAAGAGATGAGAACATTATTCATTTCGTCGGTCTATTACCTTCCTTTTTGTTAAATCACCTTCTCTCCTTCATCGCGATTTACCACCAATGGCTCGACCGGCTGCATCATCATTGTTGATTGCATCAAGGGATTTCTTTGCGTTCTGGACTCATTAACACTCCTTCCTTCGCTGCTACCGCGGCAAATAACTCAAAGTCATTATCGTTACTTATAAATCACCGCATCAATCTCATTGTCAGATTCGTCCTCAGACTCGGATCCATATTGGTTGCAAAATTATTTGTTAAGTATTCTTATAATTTTTTAAAATCGTTAAATTGGATGAAACTATTACATATTTTCTATGAGTAAAAACGATTTTTTTTCTTTATACTTATAAAGGTTATATAAAGAATAAATCACATACATACATATATAATCCTTATAATTAATAAATATTTTAATTGATATATTTAGTTAACAAATATTTTTAATAGTCGAAATTTATTAATTCGTAATTATATTATTACTCATTAATTTTCTTTATCGAACATGTAATTTTTAGAAATTAAAAATATTCAAATCTATGACACCGGAAGAAAAATTTTCACTAAAGTCAATGTCGTCAAAATGATAATAAAATAAAAAATAAAAAGAAGTTTGTTTCAAGTAGTATTCAAATTGGATTCACGTTGGATTCAAGGCAGATGGCCATACAAGTTAATGATATATTTTTTTAATGCATAATTGAAGCATTTTTTATTTTATAAACATTCAAAGCTAATTATATCTTCACTTTTTTATCGACAAGGTTTTTCTTTTTTATTCTTTACTTATATGTTAAATTCGATTAATGTTTGTTTCGTTTTTAGGTTATGTTTAAGTACTTGATCATCAATTAAATATGATTAATTTATTATTCTTATTTGTGTTAAATGATTATTAAAAATTAAAATAATAAATTTTACTTTGCCTTTTTTCAGCATGTCATCTAAATCTAGAAAAAGTTTATCATCATTAACAACATGTGACAAATGTCAGTGCACTTTTGGACAAAAGGATGCAACCTTACATGAATCAAATTGTCCACCTTGTTTTGAAAATTGGAACCATAATTTTATTTTCAATGATACTTTGCATAGTACTTTAGAAATTTATAGTGCTTCAGGTAAATATATATATATATATATATATATCATTAATATTTTAATTCTCTATTCATTTTATGTTAAGTTATACGTTATTTTATAGCACCAACGAATGTATCCGTAAGAGACTTAAATGATATGGTGTTCATGTCACAGTCTGTGATGCAATTATGCAATATTGCTATAGGAGATCCTGTTACTGTTGTGACAAAAAATAATATAATTGTAAAAATAGCTTGGCCTACCAATGATAAGTCATTATTGAGCGTTTCTTTATCTAAGCCTAGTAAGTTAGACATGTACATCAAATCTATTTATATAATTAAAAAGATATGGCATAACTACTGATCATTTCTTTAGCCATTGAATTAAACAACTTGAAAGGTTTGATTAAGATACAAAATGTGAAGCATGATGTAGCTGTAGCTAAAGAATTTACTGTCAAGTGTACCGGCAAACATGCATTACCACATATGTCTACAGATCTAGAAATACTTTTTAAGAACTGTAATGAACAAAAAATATTTTGCATTGGAAATAAAATAAGTATCCCATACTATGGAAGAAAATTGACATACATAATTACAGCAGCTTCAATAGATCAGAATGAAAATACGATAGATACGGATGACGATTTATTATTGGCTTTCAATTGTTTACATTTAACTACAGATGAATCCTATATAAAATATTATAAAGCTATGTATTCTACAAAATGGATCATTCAGGAAGATATATCAATGGTTAAAGAAGAACAGAAAAAAGTAAAGTATAAAATAGAAGATATAGGAGGATATAATGATTTAATAGCAGATATAAAAGATGTAGTGGATATTGGATTAGGTAAATGTAATATTGGTGATTTTTTTATCAGCAAAGGAATTTTACTCTATGGTACTCCTGGCGTTGGCAAATCTACGATTGCTAATGCTATTATATCAGAGTACAAAGTCAACTATTTTAATGTTCACAGTTCAGACATTTATAGTAAATCTATGGGTGAAACTGAGAGGAAGCTGAAAAAAATTTTTACAGAAGCAAAAGCTAATACTCCAAGTATAATATTGTTGGAAGATATTGATACGTTATGTCCGAAAAGGAGTAACTCGAGTACAGATCAGGAAAGAAGAGTTCTTGCTCAAATAATATCACTTTTTGATGAATTACAGAATACAAAAGATAATATTATTGTAATAGCTACTACATCAAGAATTGAATTTGTAGATGCGTCTTTAAGAAGACCTGGCAGAATCGATAAAGAATTTGAAGTTTATGTACCTTTTCAAAGTACGCGTTTCGAAATATTATTTAAATTACTCAAAAAAGTACCAAATACTTTATCACAAAATGATATAATGAGTATTTCTTTTTCTACTCATGGTTTTGTTGGTGCTGATATATATGGTCTGTGTTCGCAAGCATTGATGGCTGCCGTTAAACGTCAGCATTCTATTAATGTTACTGATACCAGAGCAAATGATGAGATAAATATAACGATAGATGATTTTAATTATGCTTTAACCGTAACTAAACCCTCTGCCATGAAAGAAGTTTTGGTAGAAGTTCCTACAGTTAGATGGTCTGACATAGGTGGACAGAAAGAATTAAAATTAAAATTAAAACAATCTATTGAATGGCCTTTGAGACATCCTGAAGCATTTGCTAGAATGGGAATAACACCACCTAGAGGAGTACTTATGTTTGGTCCACCTGGTTGTTCAAAAACCATGATTGCTAAAGCTCTTGCTACAGAAAGCAAAGTTAATTTTTTAAATATTAGGGTAAATTTTTTTTCAATAAATAGTTTTCTTACGCTGACATATTCAACGTAATCATTATTCGTAGGGCCCAGAACTATTCTCTAAATGGGTTGGCGAATCTGAGAAAGCTGTACGTGAAGTTTTTCGAAAAGCTCGTCAAGTTGCACCCTCTATCATTTTTATAGATGAAATCGATGCCCTTGGAGGAGAAAGAGGATCTTCATTAAATGGTAATGGAAGTAATGTTCAAGAACGTGTCTTGGCACAATTACTTACAGAATTAGATGGTGTCACGGCCTTAGGAAATGTTACATTAGTAGCAGCTACAAATCGTCCTGATAAAATAGACAAGGTTCGTATTTGTGATCTATATTTAATTCAAATATTGATAAGTAATGAATAATTATTTTTATCAGGCTCTACTTCGTCCTGGTCGTTTAGATAGAATAATTTACGTGGGATTACCTGATGGTGAAACCAGAGAAGAAATATTTGACATAAAGCTTAAAAAAATGCCAATTGCAGAAGATGTAAATATATTGGATTTAGTCGAGCTGACAGAAGGTTATTCTGGAGCTGAAATTCAAGCGATATGTCACGAAGCAGCAATGAACGCGCTCGAGGAGAACTTGGACGCTGCTATTGTTACCAAAGATCATTTCAAAGTTGCATTATCAATAGTGACTCCAAGAACACCGACGTCACTTATACAATTATACGAGAACTATATGAATAAAATATATTAAATAGATTATATGATAATAATAATGTATTTTCATATTTTACAGTTCATATAGTGTTACAACTTCAAGATATACATATAATTATAAATAAAACAAAAGACATAACTTGTATAATTTATTAAAAATATCAACGTATTAAGAAGAAACTCACAAAATTGAAAGTAAAAATACATTATTTTTTAAATAATGTCGGTGATCGTGAAAGGCACACTTAGTATTTATGATAGTTCATACTATTTGTTGAAAAATTATTAGTGAGCTTTTTTCTATTTTTCTAAATAGTATAAAAATATTAGATATTCTATAAATGGCTATTAATTTTTTTTTATAGTTGTTGCCCATATAGCCCACCAGTTTGCTGTTATCCACCTTTACCACCATGCGATCCTTGCTTTTGTTGTAAACCACGACCTGTTTGCATAGCATTACCTCCACCGCCTCCACCAATTTGCCCGCCATGGCCACCTCCACATTCCGGCCCTCTTCCTGATAAAAATTATTATGCTCCCTCATCCTAATATTTTTATTAATCTGCAGTTTAAAAATTGTTATTTTTTATTTATTTATTTTTTTTTTTTTTTTTTTACGAATCTGTAATATCGTAGTTATACGAATCAGTACCTCTGTTTTTATGAAGATTCTCAATTATTATATCACCAAACTTCACGCTTTTCTTTATTTAATATCGGTGTCTTATAAAATTTGTAAACATATGAAAATTCTTATAAAATTATTCACAAGTAATAAATATGTCTGTGATGGTAAAATGTCAAGGTACATACGATAAGAAAGCTTTGAAGGCCATTATCGAAAGGTGCAATTTAATTATTTTTATATAAAATAAATAATGTACATGCTCATTGTTCTTAATTTTCTTTCAGTTGCGGTTGCTGTCCACCGCCTGAACCTCCATGTCCAGCCATTTTTTGTGTGCCATCTTCATGCTGCCCACCACCTCCTTGTAATCCATGTGCTCCAGTAAAATGTGATCCCTGTTGTACTATTCCTCTGGTTCCGCCGATTGGTCTAGCTTCCTCGAGACCTTGTGGTCCATGTGCTCCAAGTTCACCAGTACCATGTATGACGTGTCCTCCATTAGGACCTATCCCACCATGTCCACCATGTCCTTTCATATGTCCACCTTGCACCGGTTATCCTTGTGTTACGACTGCACCTATACCAAAACCAGTACCAGCACCCTGTGAGCCTATTATGCCTGTCATTCGGACACCGATTAACACTGGCGGACTTTTTTACATTGGTACCAGTAAATGTTATCCTTGTCTACCACCTGCTTGTCCTCCACCATGTATGCCGTGTACTCCCATACCTGGAATGTCTGTTACATGTTGATTCCATAATAATTAATTATAATATAAATCGTAACAATTTAAATCATAAAATATTTGCGTAATATGAATTAACTGAATTATAAATTATTCATATTATCTGATTTATCGTGATGTATAATTATTTAATAAAATAAAAATTGTAACACCTATCGCATTAATAAAAATTTATTGTTTTATAGGGATAAAATTGCGTTAATCGGAAAAATAGAATAAATAATGAATGATCGTAATTATCAAGTAATTGCATTTATATAGATTCATTTGCAAGTGACTTCGTAGCTTCTAACGTTCTTATGTTTGTTTCATCTCCGTTCAGATAAATTAAAGACGTTTATCCGATATACAAATAAATTATATCGTTTTCGTATTTTAGTAAACAATATATAATAATATTTCAGTAAACAATATATAATAAAATTTCAATAAACAATATATAATAATAAATTTCAGGAATAATTTGAAAAATATCGAAAAGACAGCAAACCTATCGAAATGTGGTAAGTTAATAAAGGCTTTAATCCTACGATCGATTAACTAGATATAATAATATTAACTGATCGTACACTACTGAAGTTCAAATGATCAGTGCTTCCGATGTTCTTTAATATGCCCACCATGTCCACCCCCACAAATTCCACCTGATCCGAGTTACCCTTGTCCAACTCCTTGCACAATTATAACGTGTTCTTTACCACCACCACAGACTAGGAGACCAAAATTAAGTTGCAAAGCATATTTTCCGAAAATTGAACCTATTAAAGCTATCAGGTATGCATTATATATAGCAATTATTGCTATATTTCTTTTAACTTATAATTTGTTATATTTTTCCATATTCTTTTTTTAACGTTCTATTAATTCGTTTTAATTTTTAATGAATTATTTTTATTTTAGATTTGCACCAGCCGCTAATCCGCCTCATGGTTGCGGACAATGGACGAATCTTACTTATCGTCCGATAATTCAAGGTGGTTTCAGTTATTACGGTGTTGATAAATTAATTCCTCGTGGTCCACCACCTGGACCGCCTGTTCTTTGCCGACCAACTCCAATTAAACCTTCCGATTCACCTGGTATGATAGTTTACAGTGCTCCGTAAATATTCTTATAGTTATATTGTTAAAAATTTATTTATCAAATTTTATTAATATACGTTTAAAGAGAAATATACGTTTAAAGAAAAAAATACGTTTAAAGAGATTTATTAAATTATAATATTAGAATAAATTATTCATATGCAAAAGCTCATATGTATCTCAAACTTATGTACACACATATATACAATATAAATATACACACATATAATTTACCATAGTTATGTGTCATAAATTTGAATGAGTTATAATGTTTTACGAATGTCCAATTTACTCCTTCTACGTTGTCAAAGAATGACGAATAGTTAGAAATCTGCGCGTATAAATTCATTTACTCCATTTATAAAGAATATATTGTACCTTCAGGGTACAAGAGTACGATAATAACGCATACGGCACTGAGCATAGCGTATTCAAATCCCTCCCATTTAATCCCCACTCTTCTCAAAGCTGCGCAGAATGTGATCGTTTTCTCTTTAGATGCGATTATGTATTGTGTTTTATTTGACACGGCGGGATTAGTGAATTTATATGGTTATGATCGAAAATATTTGTATTTAAATTATATATATTAATTAATAGATATAAAATATGGAAGCTATTTGGAATAGAATTCACATTGAACATCCACCAAATATCACGTGGCGTATCGAAGCTCAGAAATTTGGTAAAAATATATTCTAACCTAAATTCTTACAACTTATGTATACAAAAAGATAAAATCATTTTAATTTTCATACAAGTTGTATAGTAAAATTTATATTTTTATGTAATAATTATCTATAAAATCTTTTTCTAAATAGATGTCACAGGACTTAAGAAGACGTTAAAACATATTATTAAGGATTTAGAATCCCGAAATGATATGCACACAGAAGCAGCAATATTAAGTAGATTAATCTATCGTATGAAATGTAAATTTCGCAATGACAAAGGTTTTAAGAATATGGAGAAAGTAAACAGAGCTTTACTCAATTATTTGAATTTAGGACTTGAAAAGGAATACAAGAATTTTGAAAGTTATATAGAATTAAGTGGTATATTTGTTACTTTGCCAAGCAAACAAATGTTAGAGTACATTCTTGTCAGAACTCAAGGTTTTGCAAAGCTTTTAGCAAGAGTGGAAGAAGTTGCAAAGTGCGCTGGTACATATTTACGAACTCGTATTATATTAGGTCATGCATGGACTATTACACTTGTAGCATATGCTATCATTAGTAGAATTTGGTATGTTATTTATTTATATATATATTTTGAAATATTTATTTTGGTTCTAATATATTATATATGTTTTTAGGATCTTATCAAAATATTTAGTTAAAAGATCTTGCATTTGGTATAATGGTCTCTATCAATTTTTGAATACATTCAAAATGATAGGTTATCCCTGGCTTTTGAAAAAAGACGACTTACCATCTGATTTAAAATCATGGCTTGCTTTATCATGGCTCGATGAAAATAAATCAAGGTATTCTAATTAGATGAACTAGCTAAATTGATATTATAAATTTGTAAATTAAAAATATTTATCTTATAAATATTTTTTGGATATAATCATAGCATGCCCGAAGAAAATATTTTGAAGGACAAGATGTTCAAATTAATTAATGTACAAGATGATAATTTAGACAATGATTTAACTTCTGACTTTCAAGATAAGTTGACAGAATTAAATACTACTGATTTTATCTGTGGTGTATCAGAAAATATTTCGAAATCAAACATTTCAAAAAATGTTGGTGAACTTTCCATTCATATGGACGATGATCTTGGAGGTATGAAAAATATTATTATTCATTAAATAAAATAAAAAATATTGAAAATATACTAAACATTTTTGACATTATTTTCTAGAAGTTGTCAATCGTTCAAGCTCTGCATTAAATTTTAATAAGAAAAAACGTAAGAAGAAAGAATCACTAGGAGAGCAAAAATTGTCACTAAATAATGAAGGGAATGAGAGTGATAGAAAACAAACAATTACATTCACACCTAAGAAACCAAAACAAAAAGAAGAAAAAAGCTCTTCTTTACTTAATGACTGTAGAACTACATTATGTCAATTGGAACCTAAAGCAAAGAAAAAGAAATTAATTCAATCATGTAATACAATCTCAAATAAAAATGTTACTCCTAATTTTGATAATATGAAAAAATCAGATTTGAATATACTTTTAAATAAAAATTGTTATCCAGGAATAAGTAAGTTACAATGGAAAATTGTTAAAAAAAAGTGCAATAAACTACTGAGGCAATCAAAAAAATGTACTGGCGAAAAGAAACAATTATTAATTAAGAAAGCAATTAATATTATACGAAAAATCAATTTAACGTTATAATCTAAAATTTTACATAAAGTTAATAAATAAATTTAAACAAATTTAAAATGTAAATATATATGTTAATATGAAATCTATTTTTATTTCAGTTTGTATTCCTATTATTACATGAACTCCTTCCTGTCTAAAAATCATAATTATCCGATTTTAATATATTAACAAAAATATATGTGACTCATTAATAAATATATGTAGCGATAAACGATAAAATAAAATACAATTTGGATAATAGTAATAAACAAAATAATATCAAATAGGAAAAATGATATAATAATTTAATTGATGTCATGAAAATAATTGATCAGACAATCAAAGATATAATGTATTATAATCAAAGAATTATCCCTGAGTACGTGCTGCTCTATAATGTCTTTAATATCATTTAACAGATCGTTTATCGAAAAGGAAAAGAAATTATATCAGATATAGTGACTACTTGAAAGAATATAAATCATTTAAATAATTGCAGAGGTATTCGATAATGTAGATTCAGTAATATTATGCGTCGTAAGCCGGACGGTAGAATGGTATTGCATATCTTCGTGATCTCATCCCAAATTTAAATACAAAGTCAGAGTTTCTTTTTTTCATATTGTTGAAGCAGCAGGCCCGAAATTGTCGCGTACCACAGATTCCGGCGCATTCCTGTCCACATTGGTCACACGATAGAGTCTCTCCAAAAGTCCACAAAGCGCAGACTGAAATATTTCATGAAGAAACATCATAAATTACAAATAAAAAATAATCTTTCATAAAAGTAATATTTATAAATATTTTTTGCAACTATAATTTACACAATATAAATATCAGTTTATTATACTAGTCAATGATAATTTATAAAATATAAATATTAATTTATTTTATATCAGCAAAAAAATATAATAAATGGATAATAAATTATAAAAAAAAAAAAAAATATTGATTTATAATCTATAAATTATTATAATTATTGATCAAAATGTAAAGTCGAAGAATATTTTAGCGATGTCCAAAGGAATTCCGTCGGAAATTAAAAATTTTCTATAAATATTTGTAATGTTTGTAAAACAGCTAGGAAAAGTAAATATATGGACGAGCATCACGTGAAAACGCTATGGCAACCAGACTACACTTGATGCATTTATGGATGTGATAGCACGAACTTTATATCGGTAATGAATGTTAATTAAGTAATTACAAGTTTTCTGCTAATATATAAATTGATGCATAATTTTAACTAACTTTTTTCTTCTAACTTTCAATATTTTTATATTCAACATAAGGGGCCAAAAGAAAATAATTTTAAATCAATATAAATAATATCAAATTTGATTAAATGCAATATAATTTAATGTATTTAATTGTTTAAACCTAATATTTCTATATTTTTAATTTATATAAAAATTATAAAAAATTATGATTTGTTTTGTTAAAAATCTTTACAAACTATTTTTATTAAGAAACTAAATCAGTTACACAAAAATTACACGACAATTCCCGTTTGGATCTTTATTTTAAAAAATTACTGTATATTATATTATCTTTTTTATTTCTTTTCTTTTTTTTTTTTTTTATGTAATCATTTCAACGTTTCTATTCGATTGATGACAAAAGCTTTTACAAATAAAAATAGATTATGATGACTAATAGGATTATAGTGCAGAGAATATCAAACATTTTGATCAATTAATTCCAGGTAATCCATAATCTCTTTGAATCATCGAGTTCGTTATCGTATTGTACTTTACTCGATAAAGTTTACTAATTATTTTCTGATAAAAAATATTCATATAATATAAGTGAAAGAAATCGAATTCAAATTGCGTTAAAAATAACAATAAATAATAAAAATAAAAATAATAATAATATAATTATTATTAATTAATAAATATAATTAATATTTAATAAGTATTAAATATATGCATTTCGTTACCTGTAATAAGGATAATTACACAGATGCGGCTCATTGTTGAATTGTACTTCAACGTAATCACTTTTTTATAAAATCAAATTCACTTTCCTTTCGTTGTTTTCACCTAACGATAAAAATGACAAGAGTTTAATTATTTAACGTATAATTTACAAAATTTTTAAATTAATGTTACGATTTAAAAATTATATAATTAATAGATACTGAAATTCTATAGATATAAAACTATCAAAATATTTTTATAAAATATTTTGTTAAAATTAATATAATGTCGTATTAAAAATTTATAGAATAATAGAAAACTGATGAAATTAAAATTGTTAATAGTTGTAATCGACATTAAATGAAAATTCAATCTTAGAAACTAACACTTACTTTAGCAGGTGAGAGCTGACGAAGAAATGATCCTAAGGAGCATCGAAAGATCTTGTTGCTCGATTCCTAAGTAAATTTTCCCCCACTATCGTGTATATCATCCTCATCCACCCTCGACTTATACGCAATCGCCGTACCGTTGCAAATATAGATATTGAAGCTAATTAACATTCGATTGTCGATTTTCTTAGTACGGGGATTGACTAAAGTACACTACAGATTTTATTCCGAATACAAACAAATCCCTTATAACACGATATTCCTACAATATGATTTGAAAATTGGAATAATTCTATTTATAATATGATTCGAAAATTAGATAAATTCTCGTACAACATGGCAAAGAGAATTTTTAAGCGCGAGCATTATCATTTGATATTTTCATTTGTGCAAGCGTATATAGAATTGCGTATAACATTAGAATTTTTAATTAATTTTCTTCGTAAAGTATTAAACGTATTGTAAGAATTAAACAACAAATTAGAAAAAGGAAATAGTGTATAAAAAAATAGTTCTGTTAATTTTTAAAATGTAAATTAATTCCATACTAAATCCTTGTTTTGTATAAAACGGATTGACATGATACAATATTTGTTAAGAATCTGATCACGTTACTTATATATATACACGGATTATTTGTATAAATAAATTTATGAACTTCAATTACACACGCACAAAGTGGTGTGCGCGATCAACAGATTAAAATTAATGAATTCGTCATAATGATCATTAGGATGAATTCATAAATCATAATGATCATAAATGGAAATTAAATTTTGGAAATAACAAAAGTATATGATATAAAAAAAGAATCGATTAAAACATCATCAATAACCATCAAAATTAATATATTAATATTACGTTTTTAACTACGTTATTATTTTTTTTCTTATTATTATTATTATTTTCTTTTTTTTTTTATCATACTAAATTACAATTATAATATAATGAAAATATAATTCATTATTTTAATTTTTTATATAATCAGGATAATAAACCATCTTTTCCCTTCTTTTGTAATTTGTATCAGAAATAGAAATCTCGCATTCTATTAATACAGGATTTATTATATTCTTTAAGATAGTATTTCGTGTCATGGAAAAATTATCTCTATACTCGTTAATAATTTTCAATGACTCGTCGAATTTATCATCGATTTTAATCCCTTCGATATAAAGTATCAAAGTCGGTTTAGGTCGTGCTCCTAATACTGTACATTTAACGTTAATATGACTATCATTAAAACGAGAGACATAAATTTTTGCGCTGCTTTCCGGGACTGCAAGTATTAATTATTTATTAATTATTTATTATCGACAAATAATAAATAAATATATGTATAATTCGTGAATTATAATTATTAGATATTTAAATTAAATTAACATTGAAAATAACTTTTGAATTACCGTATACAATCATTCTGGCTGCTTTGGTGTGCTCGCTATGAAATGTTTTGACGACGCACATGTATTCTCCGCTCATGTCAAGAGTAATCATTTTTAAATAGATTATCGATCGTCTCTCTGGTTCTCTCAAATTCTCCATTGGATATTTCGAGTAGTTTGCAATTATTCCCGTATCTTGAGGTGGTACTAAAATTTTATAAATCATCTCTTAATATATTGTAATTATCTTTTTCTTTCCTCTTTTTTCTTTTTTCTTTTTCTTTTTTTTTCTTTTTTTTTTTTGTTGTAATAATACAAATCTTTAAAAGATAGTCAAGATTTAGTTACATGGAGGTATCCATTGATAGATCTGATCCAACTCGTGATACCATTTAATAACAAGACCATTCTCATTCTCATCGATTTTGTAAATACAAGAAAGCTCGATTGGTCCAGTACCATTGTGTACAACTGACGGCACATTTATGCTTTCGATAATAGACGCATCGATCGCTGTAATAAAAAACAGGCAAGAAAATAATTTGTAGAAATGGATTTGTTACAGATTTGATATATAAAATGATAATTTTTACGTTTTATTAGTAGATAAAAAAAATAATTCTTTCACATATACGATATTCATTGTCTATATTAATGCGTTAACGTTTATCGCGCGTTAATAGATATTAATATAATGTTTATTTAGAATTTTAATTCACTTACTGGAAAAGTACTTTAGTATGATCACTCTCGTCAGAAAGAAAAAAACTGAAAGCGTTGTTGACGACATTACCTTTCAAGGTCTCTTTTCAGACTGATGCACAATTAAATACGCCTCGTCTAACTTTAAACACTCCTGAAACAAGATTCTGCGCAACCTTTATGGATATTCGATGTTATATATGATGTGTAATCACATCGATATGTGGCATTTTTATTTATTTTCTTTTTTCTTTTTTTTTTCTTCATTTTATAATTGAATCCAATATTTGTATAATAGGTATTATGCATAATGTTAATAATAATTTTTAAACATAAATAATCTATTTATTCATTATTTTCTTTTTCCTAATACACGTATGTCATTTCTATTTAAACTCGTTTCGAACGGTCTTTATTGTACATGCTGTCATCGCTAGATGGCACTATTTTGTAGTTTAAAAATCAACTTTTAATTTTTCTACATTTATAGTGTCGGTTTTTTTTACATTATAAATAATAATTTCTTTAATGTAATTATTTATGAAAACACATCGCTTATATATATATATACATAATTACAATACAAACGTGATGAAAAATAAGTAGAAATCTATATACCATAAGTGTCGATCAATTTTTAACTATGTAGTTTTTAATCTACATTATATATGATTCAATGACAATTATTAACCGTCATAGATTTTACCTTTTGAAATCGAGTAAACGAAGTTTAATTTCTCTATTTTAATAAGTTAATAATATGTCTAATATAAAAGATGACCCACGAGAAGTTCTTGCTACTCTTAATTCTTTGGGATTTATTGGTATTACTGCACCTCAACTTAAAGCTTTTATGAAAGGTAATACATTTTATATGTACTTTAAAATATTATTGTTTTTACTTATGAATTTCTATGACTTTATATTCTCAACTTTTATAATTGTTAGCAATTGTTTTCACTAAAAGTGAATTTTATTTTTAAATCATTCTCTATAAAACGTAATGCCTCGAGTATATCTGTTTTTAATTGTTATTCATTATTGTTGAAAGATTTGAAGATATACAAGAAGATAAAAGAACATGAAAGACAACAACATAAGGAAGAAATCAGAAAGAAAATAATGAGAAAACAGCAGCAAATGTTTCATGAAATTCTTAGTGAACATATTAAAGAATTAAGTGAACAAACTAACAATTCTTCGAATTTCGACAATGAATCTCTAGTAAAAGTAGAAATCAAATGTATTCCAAAAGATAAAGAAAATCTACATCACAGATATATAAAAGAAGAATTTGATGTGCCAGTGAGAGAACCATCAAATTTGGTAAAAAACAAATGTAAAAAAGTAAATCTTATTGAGGACTCATGTTTAAGTAGAAAAGATCATAATTTTATAGATTCTACATCTCGTTCAACTGTCCAACGATCCAAAAATGATAATCAATCTTTTGTCAATTCATATTCTATGCAGAATGTTTATAATGCAAACTATGATATTAATAAATATAATACAATTTCTCAAGAACAACCGTTACATTCAAAGCCAATATTATCAGATAACAATAGACCAATTAGCGCCCCAAATATTCTAGAAAATAATCGTAAATCAAGATCAAAAAGTATATTATCTGATCAATCTACTACTGTTCGATCGCAAAGTCTTCCACGTACTAAAAGTTCTAGCTGTTCCACACATAAATCATGTAAGAAAAATCTTAAAGCTAAGAATAAAAATGTTATCTTCAATAAAAAATATATTAATAATTTTCATATAGTTATTCGACCGTGGCGATTACATCCAGAAGTTCAAAAAAGTACAACAAATAAGAGATGCGATCCCGTTGCTCTTTATCAAAAGTATCAGGAAGAATGGAAGCAGATAGCATTTCCTGGAGAAGCAAAACATATGACTGTAAGGTGGGCTGTACGTGAAAAAATGCTTGGTGGTGATCCTCATCCTCCAGTAAATATCAAATATAATTTAATAATTTAATTTTTACTCTCAAATCTATATCTTTTTTTAATTTACAGCCTTTGCCAAGAAAATCCGCTAGTGTACCTATATTGAGGAAAAAATGACTATAAATGTGATATAGCATGATATAAAAAATTTTAACTTTTCCTGTCAATCAAGAATATTTCCGATATTTATATTGTTACGATCATATATTGCAATATTTTCGATATGAACGAGCCGCTTTTGTTTAAAAAATGAACTCTATATAATATAGTTTATTGTACGGCATACACATTCTTATGTGATGTGCATTTGAAACAAACAAAAAATAAGATTCTTAATTCCATATAAAATCAGTATTTCCTTAATAGTATTAAACACGTACGATTAGAATTTCCAGGGAATAATTTTAAGGATAAACCACAGAGCGGCAATAGTAATTTTCAAGATATTCATAATTATTATGACAGGAAAAAGTTAAACGATATATATTAGAAGAAATTTATTTTTTTAATACAGGAAAATAAAGTGAATATGGTACTACATACACTAAGTAAAAATAATCTATGTAAATAAAGTTTCGATTACATGATGTAAGTAATTCTTTTACTGTTGACTTAGCTTGAATTTTTTTAAAAATTTATTACTATCTGCCCTATTTAAATGAAATAGCAATTTTTCTTCTATTAATCGTGCTGCACGATGTGTCAATACTAATGTATCATGTTTTAGCATACTGTACACATTCAAACCTAAAAATATACAAAATTATTACATACAATATTTATCATAGATATATTATATAATATAGACACGTACCATAGACAGGCATCAAATTTACATGGGGTATCGTATCAGTTGCTATTGTCAAATTAATTGGCATAATATCTTCACTGTCTACAATAAGGACAGAAGGACCCCAATTTCTTTCTACAATCAGTTGTTCTATATAAGATGATTCCTTGGAAGGTATTTCCAAATCATTTATCAAATGTAAATCATCTTGAGCAAGTTTAACGGATAATGTTGATGTAAGCCCAGCAATACGAGTATAAAATGGTAACATATAGAAATAAGTTGTATGTGATCGTGGGCCATGAATAACACCACCTTTTCTCCATAAAGGTGATCTTATACTACCATGGCGTGCTCTTCCTGTACCTTTTTGTTTCCAAGGTTTTTTACCACCTCCTCTTACCTCTGCTCGAGTCTTTGTATGCGCATAACTCTAAACACAAAATACAAATAGATAATAAGAGATTTAATTAATTAATAGAATTCAACTTTTGCAAATGATATGGTGTGAGTGTGTGTGTGTGTGTGTGTGTGTTCTTACCACATAATTATATAATCTTTGCCATTTAATATTTTCATGAATTATATCAATTCGTGGTTGAGCTGCGAAAATTTCCGGATGCAAATTGATCAAACCTAATTTCTTTTCCTCAACTGTATCTAGATTTTCTAACCATACTTCTCGAGACTTATGAAAATATCTGTCACTTTCGTATGATCTTATATCAATGATTGGTTTGAATTCTTCTACGTTTGATTCGGTCGTAGTACTGTACTTTAACGTTTGAAAACATCGTTTATGTAAATTGTTAAAGACATTTCGGAAAATCGACATAATTTTAATTATGATTCTATATAAACTAAATATAACACACGTGTTTATATAGTCTCCATGAGATGGCGCAGTATGTTATATGACGTATCGAAAAGTTCTCTAGAAAGATGTCTCTAGTATCGCAATTGAGAAGCACAAGTGTTTATTTACATTTATATTAATTAAAAGCTATAACTCTACAAACTTTTATTTTCCCTTTTAAAATCGATGTGTCATAAAATAGTTATATTTTTACATTCATAGACATTATAGTCATAGACATGTGTATATATATGTAGAAATATATTTAATGCATTATATATTTAATTATAAATAAATATCTAATCATGTTTGGGAAAGAGGCCTTCCAACTTATTACAGAACTTGATTTGTCTGATGATATAAAACCCTTCAATGTAAGTGAAAAAAAAAAAGAAAAAAGAAAAAAGAAAAATGACTAAAGCTAATTATTGTAAAATATAAGTATATAAGACGAATAAGTTAAGTTTTCTAACTTTTTTTAAGGAATCTGTGGTCAGACAAGTATTGGAAGAAATGCATTATCTTTATGAAGCAAATTTACTTGATAGGTATATTTCTATATATTTCATATATCCATACATATTTCTATTTAACTTATTATTTATATTTTATATCATTTTTTTCAGTAATGCTATCAAAAATGATGGTAATACAGCGTTACTTCCGTCTGTACAATTTCGACATGTAGCTTTAACTAGAAACAAAAGATGTATCTTAGCATACTTATATAATAGAATGAGAAGATTACGTCAAATGCGTTGGGAATTAGGTAGCATCTTACCACCAGAAATCAATTCTAATTTACTTAATGCAGAAATTCAATGGTTCCATTCATATAATAAATCTTTAGCTACATATATGAGATCTATAGGAGATAGTTGCGGACTTAATTTGACAGTAAATATGTTACCACCTAAATCTCTTTATATCGAAGTAAGTAAATATTTTGATCTTTTTACTTTTACTTTCAATATTTAGCAATAATAAAAATTATATTTTATTATTATTAGGTTAAGTGTTTGACAGATTTTGGCAAGCTAGAGATTGAAAATGGACAAGTAGTCACACTCAAAAAAAACACATATCATTTATTACCTAGAATAATCTGCGAGCCTCTTATCAGACAGGGTATACTAGAACATCTCGCATGATACGTTTGTTGTTTGATATTACAAAAAACAAAAAAAAACAAAAAAAAAACAAAACAAAAAAAAGATTTTGGAATTCAAATCATATTATTTTTATACCATACATGCCTTACAATAAAATAATAATTTATGTTTAAAGAACATTTCTAACAGATCTTTCAAAGAATCGAAATTTGAATGTTAGACAAAAATCTATCACGTGATCGTTTCTTAACTATATGTTTATGTTGGATTTTCCAAGAGAAAGTGAATTAAAATAGGGATACTTTTAGAAAACACATATTTCTAACACATGTTTTCACAAGGATTTTCCCAAGGTGTTCAAATTCAAAGTTTATTTGTGCAGAATATTATTTAAGCGTAGTCATCGGTTGTCTTCGATTCGTAATGAGTGGTATATTCAGTAGCTTTTAGAAGGATGAACGGTCAACGTATATTTCTCAGGTAGTTAGTGATACGAGTCAAGATTATTTTTTTCTCTATCATCGTTATTTCACCGTGAAACAAAATATTCATTCTCAGCGCGAATCGGGATATTTTACGAACGAAGGAAACACGTTCTGCGGTGTTGATGTTCTAAGTATTGAGAAAGAAAAAAAAAACAAAAGAATTCTTCGTAAAAAAAAAAAAAAGAAAAAGGAAATTATTTTTTACTGACGGGCTCTTCATGTTTCAACATACATGTCCAAACAATTCAGCATACGTAAGTATTAATATTATTATTATAATTTTGCAATGTTGTTTTCTCTCTTTTTTTGTTTTTATGCCGAATGACTTTCTTCCTCTTCTTCGATAAAAATATTTAAAAGATTATCAGAGATAGCGATTATTGTATGATAGCGACATAAAAAAAAAAACCAAAAAGAAAAAAAGAAGAAAAAGACAAAATATAAAAGTAAAAATTCTTGTATAAATCGATTGATTTATAATATAAAAACGATTGAGTTCTACGAATATAAACAATTTCGTTAACTCGAACATAATCAGATCTGTCTCTATTATTACGATCATGATGAATAACAAGTTGTTGTGATTTTTCTAATCATTTTGATATACGTACATATAAATCTTGATTATCGTAGATCAAAAAGACGTCATTTATAAATAATTTAACGTGATTTAACAATGATTGTTTGTTTAAAGTAACACATTTAGATGTAACATAGCGTTATTGTATGAATCCTATGCGTACATTAAAGATCAAAGGATGATTAATTGGGATATGTTAAAGCTTTCAAGTTTTTTTTCTCTATCTTTCTTTTCTTTGTTTTTTTTTTTTTTTTATTTTTTAACTGCATTCACCTCTGTTCATTTGCCAACTCGTGGAAATAATATCGAGAATATCAGTTGAAGAAACCAAACTCGAAAGATCAAAATTTTCTGAGACTATAGAGATCTGGGCAAAAATATCCACTACTTTCCGTTTTGTCATTGAGTCATCGTACTTTCCCAACCTCGTGTATAACCAAACAACAACGCTTGACATTCGACAAATTTTATGATGATTTCTCTAAAGCCAAGATACGCTTAATTTAGGAAATGATGTTTTGTTCAAATTTAAATATGAAATAATCAATATATCGAATAAATTTAATTTTAATTTACTCGAAATTGTGGAAAAGATCAATAAAATATAGATAAGGGGTATTTTCAAAGGGCTCAGAAAATAAAAAAAAAGAAAATATCGGTCTTATCGTTATCATACAAATGAAATTATCGCAGATATACAAACACAGGGATTTTACAAGGCTAGAACTATATTGCCCTATCTCTTTTATATTACGAGACCGCGCTTTGATTTAAATTTTTTTTTCTCTCTTTACATTCTCTTACGTGGTAATATATATTTTCTAATTTTTGAGTATTTTTTTTTTCCTTATAATCAAATTCCATGAATATTATTAGCGTAATAAAATAAGATTCGATTTTCTTTTCTTCTTCTTGGCATTCTTTATATTTTGGGATAATATCAAATCAGAAAGAAGTATTGTTAACAATACGCACAAGTTTAAGCCGAACACGATACGATGATAATATATTTTCTGTTCTTATCTCGTTCAGGTTTTCCCCAGATAACTTGAGTAACATCCATTAGGATTTATAGAAAAAAAAAAAAAAAAAAAAAAAAAAAAAAAAAAAAAAAAAAAAAAAAAAACCTGTCTCACATCTATAAGAATGACAAAACAAGATTTTTGATTTCTAATATTTATCAAATATTTTAAGTAATAATGCCAGTAATAGTAATGCCGATACTTCGTTCCCATTTCTCATATCATTTATTTGTATCTTTAATGTTATAAACAAAATTTTTCTTTTTTAATTTATTCATTCAATTTCAGATCATAAAATATTTTTTTTTTTTAATGCAAAAGATAATATTACATCCAATCACAACGAAGTAAGTTGGGCCCCAATTGATCATCGATTTCTTTAATCTTTTTCATTCCTTTTTCAATTTCCATAAAAACAAAACGAAACAAAAAAAAATTATTAAGAATCCATGCATCACTCAAATGAGTTGGCTTTTTACGTAATATATAACAAAGGAAATCCATCATTTGTAATGACCGCAATGAAATCTTTAATGATTCATAAAAGTCGACACCTCATAGAAGAGACTCCTCGATGGAGATCAACATTCTTACAGGTAATTTTCTTCTTACATATGTTCCAAACAATTAATCGAGACATTTAAGATTCATACAATTTTGGATAGGTAGAAAAATATTTTTTTTTTTTTAAAGTTATTTGGTGCGTTATCAAATCGATTAATCTTCGTGTAAAATATGATATCCAAATAGAGATTTTCATCGGTACAGGCTCATAACAAAGAGAGAGAGAGAGAGAGAGAGAGAGAGAGAGAGAGAGAGAGAGAGAGAGAGAGAGAGAAAGAGAAAGAGATAGAGAAAGATACCTGGACCAATAAATAATAATGGGAAAATCCAAGTTTAAAAAATCCACGGTCGATTTTAATGATCGGTTTCTATGTAATGATTATTTTGTATAGCCGATTTATCGTAAGCTTAATAATTGGAAATACCTATTGGTATTTACGATGAGTTCGCATTCGTATCAACGATTGGTTTGTAAAAGAAAGTAGACCGTTTGTAAAACAGTAGGGGGAGACAAGAAAGTGTCTTTCTCTTAGTAGAAATCGACTCTCTACGATTCGTTTGATGAACAAACGATGATGGTACATATTCAATTAACCATTCGTCCTTTTCGAGAAATAAAGGTTTCTTTATTCAAAAGTTTCTTATATAAAAGTCGAAATATAAAAAACATAACTGCAAATTTTGCAAGATAGAGATAGAGATAGAGAGAGAGAGAGAGAGAGAGAGAGAGAGAGAGAGAGAGAGAGAGAGAGAGAGAGAGAGAGAGAGAGAGAGAGAGAGAGAGAGAGAGAGAGAGAGAGAGAGAGAGAGAGAGAGAGAGAAAGGAAGAGATTAGCTGTATAATCAGATTTAATAATTGACGTTAATGAGATATAAGATAATCCAAAGTGCGATTACTTATTTTAGTGTTATTTTATTAACCCGTATTGATTCCTTTACGTGTCTCGTGAAAGTTAAAAATTTTTCTCTGAACAGATATCTGGATTTAATAAATGCAATCTAAACTCAAACGACAGATTATATCAATAATTCAATTACAATTTTCGTATTTATACATTGTGATTTGTGCATTATTCTGTTCTCGTTTCTTATTCTGTTTCTCGTCAGTTTAACTGTTACATTTTGTTCTTCTAATTATTAAAAAAAAAAGCTATTCGTCACATATCTATATACATATATATCATTTTCTTTATAACGTATCGATATAACATTTAAAAGGATTATCGATCAAAGCAGATCGTTTTAAATTTCTTTCATTCTATGTACGTTTCAATAAAAATCGTTATTATTCAAAACATGACGATAAGATGACTAAAGGCAGCATTAAAAACAAAAGCAATAAATCAAGGTCGAGATTTCTTCATTACATTATATAGATCGATTTTCCAAATATACTTCTCTGTAATATACAATAACGAATAAAAATACGTTAAATAAAACTGGATATATCTTTAATATAATAATTCTCTTACTAAATTCATGGTATAACCATGTTAACTCTATATTCAAACTCTATCCTTATCGAATCGCTTCGTTCGTTGAGGGCGACCTGCCCGGTTCAGATGGGTTTTTCCACCCCTACCTCTTCTATGGAAGCTCCAATCGTCTTCAGCCAATAGCACGACGCGGTCACAAATTATTTCTCAAGCGCGCAACACGGCTATGTCAGTTAATACCAGAACAGTGTACGCGAGGGATCAACACTAATACACGCAACTCGTCGTTTCTACCAGTTCTTCTTTTCTCTTCTCTTATTTGAAGAAACGTCGATAGATTCACACTTTCGGCATAACCAATCGATCTCAAAAAAGAGAAGAAAAAGGTACACGTGTGCATCGTTGGATTAACGTTTAACGTTTTTATTACTTTCATTGAAAGTGTACGAAGACGTAAGTGACGTTGCGACGACGACGCAACGACGACGTGCGTATACGAACGAGCGATGTCTTACGAATAAGCACGAACACGACCGAGCGGCGTTCTACGAGTAGGCACGAATACGACCGAGCTTGGCCGAACGAGATAGAGCGAAGAATGCTACGAAGGCGAGTGAACGAAACAGATACTGAAGATCCCTAAAACAGTGGTGGCAGCTGTTTGAGGCAGTACGGAGATCGAAGGGCATCGTCCGAGTTATACGGATCGGTGCGTCCTAAGCGAACGACTACGACGACATTAATTATATACGTATAACCCGACGCACGATAATCGTTCGTGCGAAAAACGAATAATCATCGGTTCTTTCGAAATTTCATCACAGAGTTCTTTTTCTCTTTTCTGATCTTATACTTTTTTTCGTGTGTGAGACTGCGACTGTAATATCAACCATAACGAAGTACACATAAATACATAGAAAAACTTGCATATATATGTATATATATATATATAAACACGTTGTAAACGCGTAGCGTGGTGTTATTAGAACGAAGAAAAACGGGAGGAGGAAGGTCCAAGGTATTAGCACGAATAAAAGAGAGAACAAAAACGCAAGATAAAAATGTGGTACTCTTCGTCGGGGAGGAATGCTGAACAGACAGAACATCGGGATAATGTTGCAGACAATATCACTGAGGAAAAGTGGCAGAAAGAACGAGAGGACTCCGGTCGCATTGATTCTGGATTTCTTTCCGGTGGAAATCTGCAGATTAGTTCCGAACTCGATTGCTCGGATTTGGACGTTATACCGGATATTGGTGCCGTTGCGCCGGAACCAATGAGAGCGGATAGTGGAGTAGATCTCGGTCTCAGCGAGAGCTTGAGCCAGTTAACGTTAAAGCAAGTAACTTTGAATCCTTTGGCGAGTGGGAAGGTACAAACCGAGCCTACCATTGAACTTGTACCTCTCGCTGATCATAAAATTGGTATTCTTGAACAACAACAATTGCCTCAAGGAGTCAAAGTTCCGATCATTGAGAGAAATGTCGGAACGTCTGAAAATCACGAAAAGAGAATCAATAACGATGAACCTTGGCAGCTTTACTACACTCAGGACGATGAAGGAGACACGTAAGTTGATATTTACTTGTAATCGTTTGTACAAATTTGAATATTAATTATCATTGTTTTTTTCTCTCTCCCTCCCTCCCTCTCTCTCTCTCCCCTCTCTCTCTCATTCGTTATCAAGGTTAATGCACTGTACATATTAACTTTATTTTCTTATTTATAAAATAATTTAAAAAGAAATACGTATATTAGTTTTACGTAACGATCTTGACATTAGTTTTATTTTAATTAATTGAAATCTTTATTTTCTTATTTATAAAATAATTTCAAAAGAAATACGTATATTAGTTTTACGTAACGATCTTGACATTAGTTTTATTTTAATTAATTGAAATCTTTTGTTTATATATTTTTTGTCTTTTATTTTAATTTTCTGCTGAATGTTCCTCTGTTGATAAGAAATCATAAGAGGAAAAGAGAGAGAGATGAATTATTGTGCATAAGTCGCTGACATACGTCATTCCGATGTTTTTTTTTCTTTTTTTTTTCATAAGCTCTATCAATCAGATTTTCGCTTAGTAGTACCACTTTATTTTTTTGATATAACAAATAACGATTAATTTCATGACGATTAACAACTTCTGACGGAAATAAATACATTTGTTTGTCTTTCTTAAAAACTTGATCGATTTATTTTTTCGTTTTTTGGCAAACTTGTCAAGAAAAAAAATTTTCTTACTACAAGACACGTGCTTGATACATTTTTTCTTTCTGCTTCTACTTTCTCAAACAAACACAATACGTGCGCGCTCGTACACACATACATACACTTCTCAGCCAATCAAAAATTCTAGGACAGACGTTAAGTGTCATCAGCTATTGTTTGCTTCGATAATGCCATTCCTTGTGGAATAATCATCGAACATTGTTATTAACTCATATAATTTAATTTTATTTAAAAAAAAAAACCTTTTTAAAAAATTTACTTTTAACAAATTTACAATCTTCGATTACAGTTTCCAATATCATACATTATTTATATTGACATATGTACATGTTGAGCGGGGGTTGGGGGAGGAGGATGGAGGGAGAGTTATTCGTAAAGATATGAAAAAAATACAAATTTGATAGATTTATCGGTTCAATTATTTTTAACCATAGTATCTTCTTTCACTTTATTAGTGATTTGCGACAGTTGAAAATATCGTTGGTTGTAACTTTCTCTAATCAAAATCAACGTTAATTTATTTATATTTTTATAGAGAAATAGGATGCTTGGATTTTTTGTTTATTATATATATATATATATATATATATATATATATATATATTTCAGAAAGATATCTTATCGAGAATGTCCGCGTATCCAACTGATTCAGGATTAGTTAACATTTCTCTAAGAATACTTTATTCGGGAATTAACCGAGATTTCAATGGGAAAGAAAGATATTACAAGTTAATTTCTAATCGTTAATAATATGACGAAATCTTCCGAAGAATTAATAGCTTTTCCGTCAATATGTTGATAAATATACGGCTATTCATTATTATAAAAAGTTATACCACGTGTATGTATTTCCCCTTATTCTCCTCCCACCATCATCACTTCTCTTTTTCTCTCTCTTTCTCTTTCCCTCTCTTTCTCTCTCACGCAATGTTAAATATTCTATAAGGTATCAACAAATGTTTGATATATATTGTAATAATAGATTGAAATTTTTACGAAGATAATTACAAAAGATCTTTTTCCGATTTTCTTGTTCGATATTTTTATATGCATGTTAGATTATATAAGAATTACGTATCGTGTGATTACGAAATCGAATATAGTGAAATAGGAAGACATTTTTAATACAAAAATATCGTAACAATTTTGTCAAATCAAGTTTGGTCATGAGAGAGAGAGAGAAAGAAAGAGAGAGAGAAAGAGAAAGAGATAACTGGATCTATTTATAGCATCATGCCATTATTTCTGATGATCTCGCGAACTAATCTCATTAGTGTAAACATTATTGTAATGGTTTACAATATCAGAATATATAGATATATATAGGAGATAACTGAGGAGAGCTCAATGACCGGTCACATCATCATTAATATATGTATCTTATTAGGACCTTGTGATCGGTAATTAAAGAAAATCGAACATTCAATTATTAATATATAGCATTTGGATATTGTTATTTACATCGGTTGAAATTAAAAATCGGTTTTCCAAAAATTTCCATTGATCTTATTTCCTATAAAGATAATCGATACTCGAACCTAACCGATTTATTATATCTTAAATACTATTCATACTATTCTTCGATCAAATGATAATCTAAACCGATGAACCGATATTATTTGAACTTGGCTATTTGAACGTTGAACGATGTCGAAATATACTTAAGATTATTTAATTTGATTGTTACAACGTTATATATATATTAGTCATATTTTCATTATAATTAATATTTCCTCATAATTACGAAAGAGAAAAATTCTATGATATTGCAAAATCGTATACGTCGAATTGTGGAGATATTTTCATTGTTTTTCTTTCTCTTCTTTTCTTTTTTCAGACAGCTACATATCGCAATTGTTCAAGGGTTTTTGGAGGCCGCGTTCAGCCTCATTAGGATGGCACCTCATCCATGCTTGCTCGATATCTTGAATGACGACGGTCAATCACCATTACACTTGGCCGTGTTAACGCGTCAACCGAGAATCGTTAGACGTTTAATATTGGCAGGTGCAAATCCATCCCTGAGAAATTTCCGTGGTAACACGGCACTTCATTTAACATGCGAGACCGGCGATTTGAGTTGCGCTAAGGCTTTAACCGATCCCTTGTCTCCGGTCGAAAGAAATTATCTTCTACTTGGAAAGAAGATACCAGCACTGCCACAAAATTTAGAACAACGAAACTACGATGGTAAGCTATCCGTCAAATATTTTATTATGTTACAATCGTTTTTAATTTCGAATTGGATAATTATAATGGCGGCGAGGGAGGGAAGGAGAGAGAAGAGAAGAAGAAGGAGAAGAACTCTGTTTTATGTTTAAAACCAGTTGTCTTATATAAAGAGAAAAAAAATTATCTAGAATATTATCTAGAGGTAGAATGATTTGCTACGTTGATTCCTAAATTTGCAATTTATTCACTTAGCCAAAGTCGACACCATCGTATCCTAACACATTACATATATATGTTTATTCTTCATTTTTATTAATATATTTATTCCAAATAATCTTAGAATAATACACTATTGTATGCTTAGCATATTGTTTATTTATTTTATATATATATAAAGGAACAACTTTGCTAAATGGACATAGAAATCGCATTAAAAGAATGAAACATTTATAATCCTTCGTAAATTGTTGTACGTTTTAAATGGTCTCAGGAATCCTTCGTTGCCTTTGTCGATTATATACTCGTGGATAATCGTGGATTTCCCATGATTTCATCGACGAATGTATGTACCATCTGGAGTCTTTCTCTCTCTCTCTCTCTCTCTCTCTCTCTCTCTCTCTCTCTCTCTCTCTCTCTCTCTCTCTCGCATACGTGCGTGCGCGCGCGCGTATACCTTACAAGATCATACCACAAAAATGGTCAGGAAATTCCATTATATTTCGATATTAGACTCTTAGGAAAATTTTAATTGATTTAAATTGAATTCTTGTTCGAAAGACCATTTCTTTTGATCATATTATAAAGGATTTACGATAAAATTCCTAGATGATAACACATACGCACACACACATACATACACACACGCACGAAAATATTATATATTATATATGATATTGCTTGTAAAAATTAAAGTTATCGTACTATTCGATATATCTTGGAAATTAGGCCTGATTTAGTAGATAACATTTCGATTATCAATTGTGTCACGAGCTGATACTGATCTTGAAACGTCTGTTTTTTCTTTTTCTTTTTTTTTTTTTTTTACACGTCACAATCAATACAGTATGTTCCAATCGCTTGGGGAAATCCCTAAAGACCGTGACGCCGTATCGACGCGGATATGTATTAACCAAATTACGATCTACGGAAAAATTGTGACGAATATATGACAATTGTTTTTACGACTTGTTTACGAGTTTCTGTTTATTTCATTTGCATCATTATATTGCGTGTTCGCACACATTCGGATCATACTTTTGCGGTAACTCGATGTGTGGGGTGAATAATAATTAAACTTTAATGTTATATAAGAATAATATCTAATATTCCTCAATCGTATTGGAATTTTATTATTCATCGTAAATCGGAGGCGTTCGATTAAAAAAAAAAAAAATAAATAAAAATGAAAAGAATGTTCTATGAGAAATATACGGTTTCTCAAAGTCATCACACTTCACAGTTTAGTCACTAGACTTTCCCATTGTCGAGTACGTTCTCCCTTCTCGTCCAACTTCTTCATCCAACCCACACGTTTGCTTTCTCGTGAGCATTTTTTACGATACCTCTTTGTGATTCCTATCTCTCTCTATCTCTCTTTCTCTCTCTGTATCTCTCTTTTTCTCTCTATTCAAAATTGACATATAGTGCACAAAAAATAGTCGGTACCGTTCAAAAGTCAATAGACTTCATCGGGAAATGTTTAGCTAACTTTTTCAGTTTCTTGGAATTCCCACAGTAGCGTCATGCCTCAGCCACGATTGTACTACGTCGTTCTTTTTACACGCATCATCCTCTTGTAGGTAATAGACAATTCTGGATTGTGACAAAATGTTGCTCAAAGAGTTTTTCGTTACTTAATCTTTCATTTTACCTCTTTCTTTTGCCTATCCTTTTTATTCCATTATCCGTACAATCGTTCAAAATAACGGTTGATTTCGATAATAGTACTGTCATGAAAGTTCTCTTTTCAATTTTTATCCTGCTCCTTTTTTTTTGTTTTTTTTTTTTTTTTTCGTTTAAACATTCATAGAAGAAAAAAAGAAGGAAAGAAGGGAAAAAAAAAGAAAATTGTGTTTCTTAATTTCAATGGTATTTTGATGTATCGTACGAGCGCGTGCGTTACATCACGAAGACGATGAGACAGAAGCCAAAGCAGATGTTTTTGATATTTAAAAATACTTGTAAGACTATTTACGTGCCACGCTATTCTTGCACCGGTTGGCGGCCTCGGAAAACCCCACAATGGCGTCGACTATAGTGGACCATAAACGCGTATCATTATTATTTCAAGAATAGAAATAACGAATCGTAATGTCCGAAGTGGAAAATGATCGTGATCATCGAATTAAATATTTAGAAACGTCACGAAGAATACATGCAATTTGAAGAAAGAAAAAATTATTATTAATACGCTTTTTGTTTTTGTTTACAAAGATGAACTTTCCCGTAACTCGGCGTAGTTCCCATGAAATATTTTTATCTTCGATTTCATATTGTTGTCATATGGTCACGTGTTTTGGATTAAATTCCGCCAATGCACCGGTCGTCGCCGTCGTGCTAACTCGAGGGATATCTAATTTTAGTGGTCACTTTGATCGGTACGAGCCTAGTTTGGACCCCGGGACTCCGGCCAAACCTCCGACGACAATGATTCACCGGCATCTTCCTAGTTCTATGTATATCTTCTAAAGGCATGTGACGCGATTGCGATCGTTCCAAATAAAATGCAATCCCCTCCCCTTTTCTTTCCCATTCTCTCCCTATATTACCCCTTTCCTCTGCGCATGGCAATGAAAGTCGTATCGAAAAGTCTTAATATAAATGATTGTTTTCTTTTTTTTTCTTTTTCTGTTTTTCATTTCTTTTTTTTTTTTTCTTACAATTTCCCTAATCACAATTATAGATCAACGTATAGCTCGTATTTTATCTCTTTTCATCATTAGGTAGATACATACGTGGAAAAAATCTTAAGCCAAAAATTTATTCGTAAAAAATGAAAATATGATTAGAGACTGACGAAGAAGAAAAATAATAATGATTTTCTATCAACAATATCGTTCGTTTATTTTTCAGGAGAAATGTGTTTGCATATAGCCGCTTCCGGTGGTCAGGTTGAACTGGTACGCTTGTTGGTTAGACTTGGCGCTGATCTTGAGGCACGCGAAGCACTCTCAGGCAAGACTGCCCTTCATTTAGCCGTCGAACGTGGCTGCCGATCTGTGGTATCCTTTCTACTGCATGAATGCAGACCTTGCTTGGATACGCCAACGTACGCGGGTATTACCGTTTATCAGTATGCTCTTTGCTTCGATGGACAACTTGCTAGGGAACTCGTTAGACTGGGTGCCACTCCAGAGCCTCTTCCCGAGACCGATTCCGACGAAAGCGATGACGAGGATGGACCAACTAACGATTATCTACCCCCGATAACAAGGCTCAAACAACAAAACGTTGTTGGCGTAAGGGTATAAAAGAAAACGAGGAGGAGCGAAGGAATGAAATGATAAAGTGGAATTATTATTATTTTTTTTTTCTTTGTTCTTTTTTCAAGAAGATAGTAGATCTGCATGTTGCAATTATCGAAACATATATATGTTTATATCCTCAATCTTAGGATACATATTATACAGAAAAAAAACTATATATACGTATAGTTTTTTTTTCCTTTTTTCTTTCTTTTCTTTTTTTTTTTTTTTTTTTTTTTTTAAGTTAAATATATTTTATCAACTTTTCATAAAGGTTAATCTAAAATACAAAAAAGGAAACTTATCTTTTTAAAACAAATGAAACGAAATTCCTCTGCTAACAGTGAAGTTTCATTAATTACGATTTTGTCATCTCTTCTTTTTTCTGTTTTTTCTTTTCTTTTTTTTTTTTTTCTTTTTTTTTTTCATTAAAAGAATCAGCTCTTTTGTCCCATTTAATGAGAATACAATTTAGATCGATAGCTATTCCGGCAAAACACTTAATGTTAGCTATGTATATAACACTAATGTGAGCTATCCCATGTATATAGTTTCTATTTCCCATAGATTTGCTCACATTTGAATTTTCTTTCCCTCGTTCGTTTGCTTCATACGTTGTCGAATTTTTTCATAGTTATATCTCGTAAATTCTCTTTTCAATGATATATTTTTATATTTGTCATATATATAGACGTCGAAGATGCTTAGTCTTTTTGAAATATTCAATGAGATTGTTTTTAATGAGAAGTAATAGATGACGTTGAAACGATCATTATTTCCATGGTACTAAATTTACTACCTAACTAATCTATCTCCTTCTTTTCATGTACTTTATCGTTTTAATTTTTATTTTTTTTTTTTTTCTTTTTTCTGATTAAGTTCGAACCCTTTCTTTTCTAAATATTTCTCCAATCTCGTCATGGTTCCTTTAATTCTCCCTTTGTCATCGGCCAATATTACTATGTCGTTTGCATAGGCCAGAGTTCATATCTTCTTTTTCTTTTTTTTTTTTTTCTTCTTTATCTTTATTTCACCCTACCTGACTTTCTTTGTTTTCTCTTCGAAATCCCTACCTTCAATCCCTTAGCTATCCAGAAGCTTTCTCCTCTTTTTTCCTCTCTCTCTCTCTCTCTCTCTCTCTCCCTCTCTCTCTCTCTCTCTCTCTCCTCTCTCTCTCTCTCTCTCTCTCTCTCTCTCTCTCTCTCTCTCTCTCTCTCTCTCTCTCTCTCTCTCTCTCTCTCTCTCTCTCCTTTCCATTTATCTCGTAGTTTTCAACCTTCTTTTCGTTTCATTGTAAACTTCCTTTAGTCTTACTCTCAGACTCTTCTTTTTTTCCATCGTATTCTTATTTACTCCTATGTAGAAGAAATAATGGTCTTGAATTTGTTTATATAAACCATCAATGGCAGATCGTCCGTGCTATGCATTACTTTGCATTACATTAATGATCTCTCCATTCTTCGTTGAACGTTCAAGCTTTTTTTTAAATGTACAATCTTGACTTTGAGTTTGGCTTGAATAATTCAATTAGCTTACGATTTTTTTTGTTTTCTTTTTTTCTTTTTCTTTTTTCTTTTTTTTTTTCATTTTTACTTTCACGACAATACATTTGTGTATTGTATATGTATATGTATATTACATAATGTAAGATATGCTACGGAAATTTTCGGCAATTGAGGAATTAATAAGTGTAGATATATAAGTGTGAAGAGAGAAAGAGAGAGAGAATGTATGAGTGGATGAATATGTGTATAGATATGTAATGTATACATTGACCCTATATAGCGTTAAAAACTATTTTTGCCGGAATTATTACAGTTATTGATTCTTTACAGTTTATTCTTTACATTCTATGGTACAAAAGGACTAAATCATTTAATGAATATTTATTATAAAATATATCAAAAATTAAAAAAAAAAGAAAAAAGAATCGATTCACTATTCTATGTCACCCTTTATTTTTGTCACCAAAGGTTCGTTCTTCTAACTAATGAAATAAAAAATATCAATTCGACGTTGCTGTCACTGCTCCTCGCAATCTCTTCTATTTTTGCGTGAATTTCTTTGTATATCCCACACAAAAATATAACATAAATTCGATTCGATATGTATGTACGTTCAATTGGAATAATGTTAATCAAGTATCTATTATCATTAGGTAAATTAGTGTACATAGTTATTTATGTGTTTAGTAGCTCATATAGAACATTATATTTAAGTATGATATTTGTGAACGATGTATTTTCGTCGATTCGTTTACTCTTAATGTGGCCTTAGCGATGCCTGAAGAAAGTTATCTTTGTAGATTATTATATCAGTTATATTCATCGTTCCCATTGTACATATAATTCTATTTTCCTTTTTAGAATCGTTAAATAGATTATTTACTAGTAATTTTATCAAAAAAAAGAATGAAAAATGAAGAAGAAGAAAAAAAGAAAAAAAGAAAAAAAGAGAGAAAGAGAGAAAATGGTAACTTTACCGTATATAACATACAGACTATTATTAAATAACGTCCATAATTATTTTTTAGTAATAAAAGCCCTTCGGGGTTCTATATAATCACGTTATTGTTTTAATCATTTGTTATGTAAGTTAATAAGCAATCAATCCCTTTATGTTTAATTTCATAACGACATTTTGTAATAATAAGTATCAGAAATATGTATATTTTAGCTGATTAATTTTACAAAGCAAGGTAAAAATGTGGAGCAAAGACACCGACTTCACAAATCTATTTCGAGTTAGCAGCTCGCTGTGTAATGGTCTAGATATTCTAAGAATCCGTCAGACTTATTCCTTTTTGGGGGAGTTTGGTCTACGGTTTTTGCGCTGCCTTTAGAATTATATTTGGATTAGTAGAGAAGGAGGAAGGAGTTTGCCACGAATCGTCTGCTTGTCTCGAAGGCATAAAACAGAAACTGTAATTATAGTATCCCCTTCCGTTCGTAGAAGACGATGATGATTCGTCGATAACACGCGAAAGAGAAGTACTTAGCTATTTCTATGATGTGTTCATATATCTTACTAAAATATTTCTTTGAATAGACCAAAGTTATTTCAATTTATCGCGCTTCATTGTTTTTTTTCTTCTTTCTTCTTCCTTTTTTTTTTTTTTTAATTGTCACGAATTAAAATTCTTACGCGAAATACGCGTTCAACGAGAGAGACGTGTATTATCAATTCATATTATTATTATTATTATTCAATTAATATTATTATCAGGTCAGTAATGTTGCTCGCTACTTTTTCGTGCTGGTGTGCAATAAAAAGAAGTGTAAATTTTTGTTTCGCTTTTAAAAATTAAGTGTAAGGTAAGTTTTTAAAGGATTTAAAATGCATTGTGAAAAAAAAAAGAAAAAGATAAAACTATATACAATATTAAACTTCTAATCGTTTTCTCTTATTTGCAAAAGAAAAAAAGACTTTATTATATATTGTTTTTAATACAGATCGCGGTATTCCTTCGGTGTAATCCTCAAGATTGAAAGTCATATATATTCAATTATATGAATTCATTCGAATGTTAAGAAATTGTATACAGTCTTCATTCAGGGTCAACAGACTCTAAGGTATGAAGAACTATGCAACAGGTCGGGTTGCTTGGAAAACCCCAGTTGCTTCAATTTACTATCGGAAATACCAACTTTCAAAGAACAATAGCATGACCAAATCATCGTGTGGCTTTGTTAAGTAATTTATGATTATTTAATATCTTATTGACGTATGTCGAGAAGAATTTATCTTTGTATAATGTTTGAAATAAAAATTTTCAAATTCTACAAAAAATTATAGGGATCCTAGTAGGCCGTTAAACGATCAATATAGTCTGATTTTGTCGAATAATTTTCAAAAAATTCAACAAAGTATTCGAAAAATATAACATAAGACAATGATTTTTCTCACCTTCTGTAAATGATATATATATATATATAATATTATATATATATATATAATAAATATCGTCTAGATGTCATTGGTATCGAAATGACTTATCAAAAGACGTCATCATGAAGTGTAGTCACAAATATTGTAGAATTTTTAATGAATCAAGTTTCTATAAATACACGACAAATATTTTCTTAACGTCAACTAACGATTCTTTAATTTTTATTTTACTTTGCAATAATGAAATGAGAATAAGAAAAAAGACAAGTAATCTTTTTATTTAAATAAATCGAAGAATATTGCGTTGAATAAGTTCGATTTATATAAAACAATATCGATTAAAAAATAATTGCCATTACGTAAAGATATGTATTATAAGTTGAAAGTAGGACACAGTACCTACGTATGTACATACATACATATATATATATATATATATATATGTGTAATCTATACGGGACAAATAACGTCAGGATTAATATTTATAAATCTTAAAATAAATATAGATATACCGACGGTCGACAATTAATGCGCATCATTGAACTATAAATTATTTAATCGATGGTTAAAATAAAAAGATGTATAAATTCGATATAATTATGAATTTTTTTTTGTTTTTGTTTTTTTTGTTTTTTTTTGTTTTTTTTTTGTTTTTTTTTTTTTTTTTTTTTAATGAACAAATAGATGCTTCGTTCAGTTTTTTTTTGCATCGACCATGGCGAAGATGACAGCACTATAACAAAAAGCAACGCTTCAGAATGTACTAGAAAATACTGTCGAATGTAAAGGAAGATACTACTCTATACGTAGAAATGTTTTCGTGATAAACACTGAGAGGCGCTAGTTGTCCATTTCTGGAGCTTTCTGAAATCTGCACCGGCACGACATCACATTCACAAGTCATCAAAAATTTTTGTACACGCGAGAGAGAGAGAAAAAGAGAGAGAGAGAGTGAGTTATAATCCAAATATTATAAAACGATAATTCTCTTTGCTATACATCGACCGTTATGGATAAGGTAAATGTTTATTGTTGAATTTTTTTTCAGCATCGTAAAAAAGACGCATTAATATTTTTAAATTAGAACACGCATTGTCGTCTTTAATAAAACCATACATCGATTGTAGGTGTAAGAATAATATAAAACTTTTCATCCTTTATTTGTCTTTTTGTTAATAAATTCAAATAGATTTTATGCCATTAATATGAATTTTTGCGATCTACGAGAAGAAATTTCAAATTTCTTTTTTGATCAACATAACTTATTAAGGGTTTGGATTAATGGTGTTTAATTCCTGCGTAGGTATCTGTATTGAAAGTGAAAGGAAATGCTGCCTTGCAAGATGGTAGATTTGATGAAGCCATCAAAAATTATACTGAAGCCATAATTTTGGATAGTAATAATCATGTTTTGTATAGTAATCGTTCTGCAGCATTTGCAAAAGCAAAATTGTATGAGAAGGCTTTGGAAGATGCCGAAAAAACTGTTAACCTGAAACCTGATTGGGGAAAGGGATATTCTCGCAAAGGTAGTGCTCTTGCATATTTGGGTAAATTAGATGAATCCATTGCAGCTTATGAAAAAGGTTTAATGTTGGATCCTGACAATGCCCAAATGAAAGCGAGTTTGGCTGATGTCAAAGCACAAAAAAGTTCAAGCAGATTCAATCCTTTCAATCATCCTGATCTTCTTAAAAAATTGGCAAATGATTCTAGGACAAAGGCTTACGTAAATGATCCAGAATATTTAAAATTATTACAAGAGCTACGTACTAATCCTCAAAGTTTAAGTTTGAATCTTCAGGATCCAAGAATACTCACGACTCTAGGAGTACTTTTAGGTGTAGATGAAACAATGGAAGTAGACCAAGAACAACCACCTGAACCTCCAAAATCAAAACCAGAGCCTAAAGTAGAAAAAAAAGAAGACGAGAACTTACCAGTAGAGAAAAGAGATGCTTTGAATGAAAAGAAATTAGGAAATGAGGCCTATAAAAAGAAAAACTTTGAGGAAGCTCTTCAACATTATAATAAAGCAGTTGAACTTGATCCAACAGAAATTGTTTATTTGCTTAATATAGCTGCAGTATATTTTGAACAGAAAGAATATGAAAAATGTATTGCTCAATGTGAAAAAGCTATTGAGGTAGGGAGAGAAAATCGAGCTGATTTTAAACTCATAGCTAAAGCATTTACTAGAATTGGTCATGCATATGAAAAAATGGCAAACTGGAAACAGGCTAAAGTATATTATGAAAAATCAATGTCTGAACATAGAACACCAGAGATTAAGACATTATTATCAGATATAGATAAAATTATAAAGGAAGAAGAAAGGAAAGCTTATATTGATCCTGTTAAAGCAGAAGAAGAGAAGGAATTGGGAAATCAAAAGTACAAAGATGGTGATTATCCTGCAGCAATAAAACATTATTCCGAAGCTATTAGAAGAAATCCAGATGATCCTAAATATTATAGTAATAGAGCAGCCTGTTATACAAAATTAGCAGCTTTTGATCTTGGATTGAAAGACTGTGAAAAATGTGTTGAGATAGATCCAAAGTTTATTAAAGGTTGGATTAGGAAAGGAAAGATATTGCAAGGTATGCAACAACAGGGCAAGGCACTAACAGCATATCAAAAAGCATTGGAATTAGATCCATCAAACAGTGAGGCATTGGAAGGCTATCGTTCGTGTGCCGTTTCCGTTAGTTCAAATCCTGAAGAAGTTAGAAAAAGAGCAATGGCAGATCCAGAAGTTCAAAGTATTTTACGAGATCCAGCCATGAGATTGATTTTGGAACAAATGCAAAGTGATCCACGAGCCTTACAAGAGTAAGTATATTGAAAAATCGTACAAAGAATTATGAAAAAAAAAAAAATTTCCATATTTAATATTCTTTGTTTTTACAGTCACTTAAAGAATCCTGACATAGCTGCCAAATTACAAAAGCTTTTGGAATCTGGTCTTATAGCCATTCATTAAAAATACAAGGACATTTATATGTGCGTGTGGTGCCTACACACTTAGCACCAAAATTATAACATTGAGTTCCTTCGACATTAAGAACACTATTCTGTTTCCATCTATTGCTGGTTCATTAACACATTGTGCTGCTGAATGCTTGACAAAGATTTAGTCATATATCTTTATTCAAGATAACTATCTTAAGTACAGATTTTGTCGCAAAACATTTCAATGCATATGCAATGAACCAGTTATATCACTGTTCAATTTATCTTTTTTTTTTTTATCAGGAAACTTGTTATACCGATTATCTGCAGTACGTTTTATTATATCTACTTATGTAAGCAGTAAAATACTTAATCCAGAAGAGAATTTCAATTGCAGATGTAATAATGTCTGCACCATTTTATAATAAAGCTGCTCTTTGTGATTGCTAGTCGTAAAAAGCATCTATTAAAGGGCAAATTAAGTTAGTTAATAGAAACTAATAATACAAATTAAGTTCAAAGTTGAATTATTACTCGAATGGACAAATAATTCTTGAAATAAGCAGAAAATGTTCATGTATGTTTAGTGGGAACGATAATCTTTAACATTGGCATAATTTAATCTTAAAGTCTCTATCATGAAATAAATAATTTCGTCGTAAAATATTGAAGAAGCATTATTCATTATATTTATATGATTAATTCAATTATAGTTAAGTAAATTGTAAATTTTACTTAATATATAATCAACTTCCATCATTAATTGTAATGATAATTCACCCGACTTTGCGCTATCCATTATAGCTGAAATAAATACCTATTATAAAATCTGTTTGGTCACTATTCGGGGATCTATCAGCGCGCATAAAATTAAAAGAAGCGAAATCTAAAAAAAAAAAATTTGTTAATTGTATTTCGCTATGATAGGTTCGTTAATGTGTACAGTCATGTCACGTGATACCAGTTGTCAAATAGTATACGATTTTGTCCAGCTGATATTCCTTCAGTAATTTTCAAGTCTATGGACCTTAGTTAAAGCGCGAAATATTTGAATATTTTGTTTCCGTTCATGTATAATCGTTCGTTGTTATTTTATAAAAGTAGATAAGTATCTAATTTTACGCTTCATTTTATTAAACGTTTGTATTTATATCAAATATATACATTATTTCGTTAAGAGAAAATTTTAGTGGTATTCTCAATTATAATAGATTAAAAATATTGACACAGTACGCCACCTAGGGAACAACTTTAAAAATATCATGTAGATCTGGTCAGTTTCATTTACATAATTTGATACAATTTTATAAATGATATTCAAAAATTTGAACAAATTTCTCTTCCAAAGATCAAATTTTTATATTCTTTTACTTCACATTCATTAAAAATAAAATTAAAATGTGGTTATGTTTGTAAGATATTCACGTTATATAGTCGAAAATACTATCTTATAAGTTCGTAAGTTAATGATCTGTAATGCAAATATCTTTCGGTAGATTTAAAAATGGCAACCCGTTCGTTTACATTATGTTTTTATAAACTTCTAACATAACGATAAGACGTTATATGTTTGTTAATTTGATGAATACGTGAAAAAAGCATCATTATATTTTCTTATTGGTAGTATAATTAATGTATGATTTAAATTTTATATAAAGTATTTTGTTCTCTAAGTTTCAGTTAATATAGAACGTATATATGATGACTTCAAGTAAAAGTACAAAAGAAGCACTTTTGTCAATAATTGATGATATTGAATTAATAGCAAAGTAAGATATATTATTTATTCTTTTATTTATTCTGATGAACGTATAATAATAAATAATTCAAAAAAAAAAAAAATACATTTTGTCACTTTAAAATAAATTGCACTTTTATGTTGCTATTACATGATTATAGTTTGCACATATATATTCGCATAATCTTTATTCTTCTCTTATATTAGGGAAATGATAGAGAACATAATAGCTCAGAAACCCTTGAAATTATCCACTACAGAACACACACAGTTGACAGAGTTATTAATAGCAAAAGATAATGAATTGAAAGCGACTTTGAAGCGTGCTGCAGAGCAAGCAAAAATAAATTTAAAAATGGAAGCTTTAAAGGCAGAAGTTGAAAGGCAAGACCAGGACATTCAACAATTACAACGTCAATTAAAGGAAGCTGAACAAATATTAGCTACTGCTATATACCAGGCAAAACAAAAATTACAATCTATCGCACGTGCTAATAAACGTCCTGTACCTTCTGAAGAACTCATTAAGTTTGCTCATAGAATAAGTGCTTCAAATGCAATCTGTGCACCATTAACATGGCAACAAGGAGATCCTCGAAGGCCTTATCCTACAGGTACAATAATTATATTTGGTATAATCATTACATTTATCTATTTTTGTAAAATGTAACCTTTAGAATAAACAACAAATTAATTTTTCTTTTTCAGATATCGAAATGAGATTAGGATGTTTAGGTAGACTAAGTGATCTTCCTTTAAATGTACCGATGTTAGGCTCTCATCCAGGAATTCCTTCAGATTTACATAGAACAGGTCATCCTGCGGGTGGTATATACTTTGTGCAGATTATATAAAAAAAAAAGATACATTTTAGGTATAAGTGAGTTTCATATATTTCAAATAAGTATTATTGTAGAGCCTCCAGTGTCACAAGCAAATCAATTTGCATGGCATCCATCAGGAGAAATTCATATGTCTGTGGGTGGACAAGGGAGTGTAGCTATGAATACTCACAAACAAGAAACGGAAGATGTTGAAGTTATGTCAACAGATTCGTCCAGTAGCTCATCTAGTGATTCACAATAGACTGATGTAATTATTAAAATATAATTTACTTTTACATCATCCTGAAAATAGAGGTTTGATGCATAGGTTATAAATAATTAACGAACTTGTATAAAATATTTGTTATATGAAATCTATATTACATTTTTATTTATGATTAAGTACAGTTGATAATATTGCGCATGAAAAATTTTTATAAAAAATTTAGCAGTGAAGAATATTGTATATTTTTATTTTTGTCTAACAACGAAAATTGTTTAAATTAATCAATTTTAAATCAAAAAAGCAAAGGAGATAATTTTTTTTAATAATTTGGTTATAAAGATCCCAGAAGTATATTTGGCAAGAACTTGTGTAATATTTGAGGCGTATAATACATTTCACTATTTGCCTAAAATATATAAAACAAATATAGTAAACATTAATGAGAAACTATAATTCCATTATTGTAACTTGCATTTTATACTTGAATATTATGCAAACACAAGGATACCTTTGTGAGAAAAGATAAAATTGTACAGTTTATATTACTTAAATAATAATCAAAGTTGAAAATATTAAATACTCACCAATAATATTTTATCGTTAAACGATGTTTTTTGAAACAAAATATTTTGATTAGTAAATGTTAAATTAAATAGTTTGCAGTCATTTTCAAGTTTTTCTATGTCTTTGTACAATATTAACTCTTGTAATTTTAATCCAGGAAATGTGAGAATTTTATTATTATATCCAGAACTCATAATTTGTAATACATTTCTAAAATAATATACAAAAAAAAAAAAAAGAAATATAGTATATGTACTTGTACTATATAACAATGAAAAGATAAAACATAATGTCGAAATACCTTCTCATATTCTTTAAATTGCACATTGCAGCACATACAAGTATTGGACGGAGTTTTTGTATTAGTCGAAACACTCGTACGTAGTTCCTTAAGTACCAAGCTATAGATATATTTGTGGCTAATCGAATTTCCTCCAACTTTCTAAAACATACATTTATGAATATTTACGTAATTGTACTATATTATTATCGAATATTATTTCAATTATAAAGTAACATAACAAACATTAATTATTAAAATGAAATGAATATATTTCTATCTTACTTATCGTGACATGCCTTAATTTTTCAGGAAGAGATAAAGCTCTGTTCAATGCTGAGATATCTCCAATATTTAAAAGAATATATAATGCTTCCATTTCTGCTCTATTATCAATCAATGTTAATACTTCTATGTCTTCATGAAGCTCTAACTTCTCTGTTTTGTTTACTGTATCGTATAAGATTAACAATTGCTTAATACATTCCAACAAATGTTGATCATTAATTTTTGGATCAAACTCAGAAATATTTCGTTCACAGAGTCTATGAAATATAATATCATGATAAATTATAAGATTTTCTTTTTGCTTTATAATTTGTTATCATTTTACCTTTGAGCGGCATATGTATGAAATCGTACAATGGGTTCCAAAAGTTGAATACTCATAATCGTACCAATTCTTTGGATCACTAAATCTTGCCGTATAGCTCTTAATCGATCAAATGTAAAATCATATATATGTACCCAATCTACATCTGTGCGTGTTAATATCCTAAATTATATAAAATATTAAAAGCTTATTACACTGCTATTATTATAATATAACTGTTGTTATGATATATAATAATACTTTGTAAATAAATATTTAATTGTTGATAGTAATACTGGTCCTGGTCGCAAAAGACTCGGATCTGTCATAATCTGACCAGCAGCTGGACGAGAAAAACTTTTTATTATTTTATTCGGATCGGCTTTTGGTTTTTTTAAATGTTTCGTTTTTTCATCAATTTCAAATCGATGCAATAAACCTTCTTTCTCTCTCCTAATTGATATAACATAAATAAGTGCATTGAAATAATGATTAAGACTTTGTCCAAATGTAAGGAATTAATTGATAGAAAGAATTATATCCCATTTTGACTTACATCCATCTTTCTTTCTCGGGACACATTAAAAGACAAATTCCATTTATAGTCTCGGACATTGTCATATAAATATAATTAATACGAACAGATAACGTTAATGATTAATTAGTAAATTTATAAATAGCGAACGTATGCTATTTACAAAATTTATCAAGACATGCAATAATAAGGTTATGTTTTGTCCGAAAGTAAATCTATATCAACATCTCGTGGCGCTAGTATCATTTTCACATTTTCTTTTTTTTTTTTTTACATAATTTAATTTTACATTATATAATAAAATTTTACATTATATAATATATAAAAATAATATTTTGGATGTTTGTAATATATACAAAAATGAATACCGATAGCTATCGGATTAGTTTCCTTTTGTATTTTGATGAATAAACATCCAAATTCATTATATCAGACTATTTTAGGATTGTACATGAATAATTAATATTTTCGATAATTTTATAATTATTTAAACAATTTGAAATGTATACCGAGTACAATAAACCTACAATTAACTAATAGTACATTCGTTTAAACATTATAAAGATGCTAACGCACGAGAACAGGTAAATAATTTTATTATAAGATTCCAATACTTCAAAATATTATTTCGCGGTAGTTGACTTTGTACAATATAAACATAAACAGTCCTTTCATTACCTTTGACGATTCGCCAGTTAGTTTCCTTTCGCATTTCAAACAGTATATATCGACTCTCTCTCTTTCTAAACGCGAAGACATAAATAAATACTTTTGGTAATTTTATAAATATATTAACAATATATAATGTACGCGGAATACAGAAATAATTAAACAATAGAACAATCGTTTAAACATTAAAAAGACAGAAACGCACGAGGAACTTAAAATAATTACAATATCGATACTTAAAAATTTTCATCTGCGGGAAGTCGGCTTTGCATAATATAAACATAAACGGTCCTTCGATTAACGTTGACGAGTTAACGTTAACGTTCGCGAGTTAGTTTTCTTTCGTACTTCGACGAGTGCACAACAAAATTCTCTATTTCTAATCGCGGGGACTTATAAATTAATATTTTCGATAATTTTTCTATTATTTAAACAATCTTTAATGTACATAAGTACAATAAAGTAATATTTAAACAATAGTAGATTCGTTTAAACATTAAAAATTCAGAAACACGGGAGAAACTTAAAATAATTTTGATATAAGTTCCAAAACATAAAAATTTTAAACTCGGGTTTGTTGGCCTTGTGCAATATAAACATAAACGGTCCTTCGATTAACTTTGAAGATTCGCGAGTTAGTTTTCTTTCGTACTCCGACCAGTGCACATCGAAATTCTTTCTTTCTAATCACGGGAACTTATAAATAAATACTTTTGATAAGTTTTCTATTATTTAAACAATTTTTAATGTACACGGAGTACAATAAAGTAATATTTAAACAATAGTACATTCGTTTAAACATTATAGAGACGGTAACGCGTGAGAAAATTGAAATAATTTCAATTAAAAATTTCGATACTTAAAAATTTTCATCTGCGGGAAGTCGGCTTTGCATAATATAAACATAAACGGTCCTTCGATTAACGTTGACGATTCGCGAGTTAGTTTTCTTTCGTACTTCGACGAGTGCACAACAAAATTCTCTATTTCTTATCGCGGAGACTTATAAACTAATATTTTCGATAATTTTTCTATTATTTAAACAATCTTTAATGTACATAAGTACAATAAAGTAATACTTAAACAATAGTAGATTCGTTTAAACATTAAAAATTCAGAAACACGGGAGAAATTTAAAATAATTTTGATATAAGTTCCAAAACATAAAAATTTTAAACTCGGGTTTGTTGGCCTTGTGCAATATAAACATAAACGGTCCTTCGATTAACTTTGAAGATTCGTGAGTTAGTATTCTTTTGCATTCCGTTCAGTACACATCGGTACTCTCTATTTCTGATCACGGAATTTATAAATTAATAATTTCGGTAATTCCTAAATAAATTAAACAATCCTTAACATAAACTGAGTACAATAAAGCAATATTTATACAATAGTAGATTCGTTTAAACATTATAAAGGAAAAGATCTAAAATAATTTTGATATAAAATACTAATACTTCAAAATTTAATTCGGGAGTTGTTGGCCTTGTGCAATATAAACATAAACGATCCTGCGATTAACTTTGACGGTTCGCGAGTTAGTATTCTTTTGTATTCCGTTCAGTACACATCGGTACTCTCTATTTCTGATCACGGAATTTATAAATTAATAATTTCGGTAATTTCTTAATTAATTAAACAATCTTTAGCATACACAGACCACAATAAAGTAATATTTAAACAATAGTAGATTCGTTTAAACATTATAAAGGAAAAGACCTAAAATAATTTTGATATAAAATACTAATACTTCAAAATTTAATTCGGGAGTTGTTGGCCTTGTGCAATATAAACATAAACGATCCTGCGATTAACTTTGACGGTTCGCGAGTTAGTATTCTTTTGCATTCCGTTCAGTACACATCGGTACTCTCTATTTCTGATCGCGGAACTTATAAATTAATAATTTCGGTAATTCCTAAATAAATTAAACAATCCTTAACATAAACTGAGTACAATAAAGCAATATTTATACAATAGTAGATTCGTTTAAACATTATAAAGGAAAAGATCTAAAATAATTTTGATATAAAATACTAATACTTCAAAATTTAATTCGGGAGTTGTTGGCCTTGTGCAATATAAACATAAACGATCCTTCGATTAACTTTGACGATTCGCGAGTTAGTATTCTTTTGCATTCCGTTCAGTACACATCGGTACTCTCTATTTCTGATCGCGGAACTTATAAATTAATAATTTCGGTAATTCCTAAATAAATTAAACAATCCTTAACATAAACTGAGTACAATAAAGCAATATTTATACAATAGTAGATTCGTTTAAACATTATAAAGGAAAAGATCTAAAATAATTTTGATATAAAATACTAATACTTCAAAATTTAATTCGGGAGTTGTTGGCCTTGTGCAATATAAACATAAACGATCCTGCGATTAACTTTGACGGTTCGCGAGTTAGTATTCTTTTGCATTCCGTTCAGTACACATCGGTACTCTCTATTTCTGATCGCGGAACTTATAAATTAATAATTTCGGTAATTCCTAAATAAATTAAACAATCCTTAACATAAACTGAGTACAATAAAGCAATATTTATACAATAGTAGATTCGTTTAAACATTATAAAGGAAAAGATCTAAAATAATTTTGATATAAAATACTAATACTTCAAAATTTAATTCGGGAGTTGTTGGCCTTGTGCAATATAAACATAAACGATCCTTCGATTAACTTTGACGATTCGCGAGTTAGTATTCTTTTGCATTCCGTTCAGTACACATCGGTACTCTCTATTTCTGATCGCGGAACTTATAAATTAATAATTTCGGTAATTCCTAAATAAATTAAACAATCCTTAACATAAACTGAGTACAATAAAGCAATATTTATACAATAGTAGATTCGTTTAAACATTATAAAGGAAAAGATCTAAAATAATTTTGATATAAAATACTAATACTTCAAAATTTAATTCGGGAGTTGTTGGCCTTGTGCAATATAAACATAAACGATCCTTCGATTAACTTTGACGATTCGCGAGTTAGTATTCTTTTGCATTCCGTTCAGTACACATCGGTACTCTCTATTTCTGATCGCGGAACTTATAAATTAATAATTTCGGTAATTCCTAAATAAATTAAACAATCCTTAACATAAACTGAGTACAATAAAGCAATATTTATACAATAGTAGATTCGTTTAAACATTATAAAGGAAAAGATCTAAAATAATTTTGATATAAAATACTAATACTTCAAAATTTTACTGTCGCGTTTGTTGGCCTTCTGCAATATAAACATAAACGGTCTTTCGATTAACATTGAAGATTTCCGAATTAGTTTTCTTTCGCACTCTGAGCAGTGTACATCGGTTCTCTTTATTTCTAATCGCGAAAGCTTATAATTTAATATTTTCGATAATTTCTAAATTAATTAAACAATCCTTAACGTAAACGGAGTACGATAAAGTAATATTTAAACAATATAAGAATCGTTTAAACATTAAAAGGGCAGAAACGCGCGAGGGACATAAAATAATTTTATTATAAAATACTAATACTTCAAAATTTTACTGTCGCGTATGTTGGCCTTCTGCAATATAAACATAAACGGTCCTTCGATTAACATTGAAGATTTCCGAGTTAGTTTTCTTTCGCACTCCGAGCAGTGCACATCGGTTCTCTTTATTTCTAATCGCGAAAGCTTATAATTTAATATTTTCGATAATTTCTAAATTAATTAAACAATCCTTAACGTAAACGGAGTACGATAAAGTAATATTTAAACAATATAAGAATCGTTTAAACATTAAAAGGTCAGAAACGCGCGAGGGACATAAAATAATTTTATTATAAAATACTAATACTTCAAAATTTTACTGTCGCGTATGTTGGCATTCTGCAATATAAACATAAACGGTCCTTCGATTAACATTGAAGATTTCCGAGTTAGTTTTCTTTCGCACTCCGAGCAGTGCACATCGGTTCTCTTTATTTCTAATCGCGAAAGCTTATAATTTAATATTTTCGATAATTTCTAAATTAATTAAACAATCCTTAACGTAAACGGAGTACGATAAAGTAATATTTAAACAATGTAAGAATCGTTTAAACATTAAAAGAGCAGAAACGCGCGAGGGACATAAAATAATTTTATTATAAAATACTAATACTTCAAAATTTTACTGTCGCGTTTGTTGGCCTTCTGCAATATAAACATAAACGGTCTTTCGATTAACATTGAAGATTTCCGAATTAGTTTTCTTTCGCACTCTGAGCAGTGTACATCGGTTCTCTTTATTTCTAATCGCGAAAGCTTATAATTTAATATTTTCGATAATTTCTAAATTAATTAAACAATCCTTAACGTAAACGGAGTACGATAAAGTAATATTTAAACAATATAAGAATCGTTTAAACATTAAAAGGGCAGAAACGCGCGAGGGACATAAAATAATTTTATTATAAAATACTAATACTTCAAAATTTTACTGTCGCGTATGTTGGCCTTCTGCAATATAAACATAAACGGTCCTTCGATTAACATTGAAGATTTCCGAGTTAGTTTTCTTTCGCACTCCGAGCAGTGCACATCGGTTCTCTTTATTTCTAATCGC